TAAAACATTGGTTTGAAGATTGATCTCTATTCGCATACTCCCTTTTAACGAAGGAAACATAAACCATCCTTTAACGAAGGAAGCCTTTAAAACCATCTGAATTTTATTTCAAGCAATAAATAATTTTTATACTTTAAAAATTCGTATTGTAAGTAGTACAATACTTTACAATACTCGGAATCCCGGAAACACGCCCTTAGCATTAACAATACCAAATTTTTTTATTGCAAAAGAAAATTGAAACAATAATTTTGATAACACAAAGTGTCATTAATGTTTTTATAAATTAAAATTCATAGTTTAGATTAGAATTTAGAAATATTTTATTTGGAAGTGCAGAATGAAGGTAGTCAAGTCATGTTTATTTATTTGCTTACGAATTACTTATTAATTATTTAAGTATATCATATTATTGTAAATTTATATATCAACCTACTTTTCAAGATATAAAAAGTTTCTACTACTTTGCAGATATTGTAGATAATTATTTCAATAGTGTAACCATTTTTACATTTTGATTCATTTTATTTACGTAAAAAATTATCAAGCATTTAATGTGATAACCCCAATTAAATTAAAAATATCATAAAAAGTTCTATGAAATCTTGTGCTGCTAAACCAGCTAAACGTCAATGCTCTTTGCAGTGTATTTTGACAAAATAGAATTAAAAATCAATACTTGAGCATAGGTTTATACATAGTCTCCACAATACTCGCTCCAAAAATTCAATCTAAATTGTTGAAATGTATGTATCTACATATAAAAGAGTATGATCGTATAATCGGAAATATCGTTTATAAAAATATTGCTGTTCCACAAAAACTACAAATTCTAATATTAAGTTGTTAATACTTATATATGAAAGCTTTTGACAAAGTAAAAGTTTATAGTGAATGAAGTATATTTTCAGTCTTTTTTTTGTACCATTGTTTTTTTAATTCTTATAGTACGGTATGAGTAATTTTATAGAGAAAGAAGGTGTAAAAAACATTGACTGAACCTTAGCTACGAGGGAGATACATAAAAAAACACAGCTTCCATGGATTAGTCTTATACGATTTAGATGTCATCAGTGCATAATCCACTCAATTACGTATTATTTAAGGAATATTTAAAAATTACAAGAAATATGTTCTAAAGCAGGGATGGGGAACCTTTTCTCTATATAAGGCCAAATTTTAGTCAATGCAAAGTCAATCAGGCCGCAAAGTTTAAAAAAAGTCCAAAGGTTATAAATTTTTGCTTTGTGTAGGTTGATGAAAACAAAATTATGTCAGAATATAAAAAATAACATAAAACAGTTTATTTCATAAATAAAAATAGATAAGTAAGTATGTACATTATTAATAAAATAATATGGTTCATTATTTCAATGACTTTGCTGTGATTGAAAATTATTGAAAAAGTTTACTAGCGTGGCATACAATTATTCTGAAAGAAGCCCGGACATAGGATTCAAATATTAATATGGGTTTGTTTTCAAACAAATATGTATGTAAATTTTGAATTCAAACGTTGTTAGAAATTTCATGGCTTTGAATTTTCCAATTTTTAGTTTTCAAATTTGAAAGTTTATGTGCACGGTTTATTTTTCTAAATGTTTGATTTGTTTTCGAAAATTTGGCAGCAAAATTTTAATTTTTAAGAAATATAAGAAATAAATTTTTTCAAAGGCCACTAAAAAACAGTTAAAAGGCCGCATGCGGCCTTAAGGCCGCAGGTTCCCCATGCCTGTTCTAAAGAAAAATTATTAGAAATTTCCTTCATACACCTATTTCTAATTTTAACGCAGCAACATTTGTCTGCTTTATACCACATCTTTATGTTAGTAATGTCTTGTAATAAACATGCGTTTATATAACCCACAGTAATAAATTTAAAAAACATTAATTTAACACGGTCTCGAAGTTATCTATAATATGGTAAAATAAAAAATTAAAAGGAAATCCGTTCAGTATTTCGCTATATAGGGTGTTCACTTAAGGTGGCAGATAATTTCAGGGATAATTTATTGATCAATTTCCAGCAAAAAATGTCCGAATTTCCAGATGTGCTCCTCTTTAACTTTTAGATCTCATCGTAGTTCATCAAAAAAAAAACAAAAAAAAAAAACAAAAATTTTCAAGAAATTTCGATTAATGTAAAAATAAATTAAAAAAATATAAAAATTCTGAATCGCCTGTAGAACAAGCTCCTAATGATATCTCTATGTTCTATGGTTCCGAAACTATAAACATTTATTTATATAACTAAAAATACTAACGGTTATAGTAACGTCCGTGTTACTGAGATAAGTATACCTCAAAACTCGATTAATTCCTCTCATTTCCAAATTAAATTTAGATACATAAAAATTTTCATTAAAATAGGTTCTGTCAAAACTAGAACGCCAGGTCCATGAAACTGAAACAGACTGGCAGGTAACATTTTGCGTTGTTTATTTACTTACCTTCATTATTTATTTACTTTTGAAAATGAAACATGTACATCCTGTGGAAAGTTCCACATGATTAAATTTTGTCTAATAAGTATTAAAATTTCAAATATAAAAAATTACACCATTTAAACATTTTAGTTTAACTCTTTTAAATCATTCTTTTAAATTTCATTTAAAGTTTTTTATTTTATTTTTAATTATACTTATAAGTTGGCCATTTTTTGGTTTTAAATATTTTTTATTCTAATTATTTGTTAATATTGTTAATAATGTCTAATAAGTCTAAAAAGTTGTCCTCAGAGCTCATTTGTTTAATTGAATTAAATAAAATCCAAATTGAGATTAAATAGAAATTGGTTTTGAATGTTTACCTCAAATTCGTTAACACTTAATGATAAATGTTTTCATACATATCTGACACATTTGCCGTGCAGCATCATACGAGTATATACATATGTATGTATGTATTTATTATAAAACTTATAAATTAAATAAAAATGTATTTTTTTATGTAAATTTGTATAAAAAAGTATACATGTGAGTAAATACAATGTCTAATACCTTTGATTTAATGGAAGCTTTCTAAAGGCCAACACTCAAAAAATAAGTGAGTACTTATAGGAATTTTTTTGCTCAAAGATATGAGATTAGTTTTAATTTTACCTGTACAAACAAATACAATTCTGCATAAATGAAAGAAAAAACATATTTTATTCCTTTTTGTTTTTTTTTTGTCAAAAATCAACAAGAGTGGATATTATTATGTGTGAGTACAAAAAGTGACGACTAAAAATTCTGTAACAAATTTCAGAAATCACAATTCTTTTAAATTAAGTCAGAAAACTGTATAATAATGATAATAATGAATAAGTATATAAAGTCCGAAATAGTTAGCAAAATAAATAAAGAAGCATAGATTGCAAAGAACAATCTACTTAAATGTAATTGTAAAAAATTTTAAATTTTCGTATTTTGCAACATGGATTTATTTTAATCCAGTCTCAAATATACTTAATATGTACATAATATAAATACAAACCGAGCGTTAGGGAACATACACACATTGCATATTAGTATAAAATCTCGAGTTTTATAGGAAATCCATAACAAATTTCTCATATGCATATGTATTTGTATAAAAGTATCCAACACATATAATAGCTACACATGTAAAAATTAACAGGTACAGCCAGTGATTCCAGATTTTCAGATTTATCTATATTTGCCAGATATGTTTTCAATTGTGAAGATTTTGGCTTTCTTTTCTTTATGCAGGTTTTTAAAGCTTTTAAAATTAAATTTTCAAAATAATTTTAAGAATAAACAACACGAAATAAAAATGAAGCAACTTCATTTTACTTCTTTTCAAATTTTGTGTGTTAATTTTAAAGAAAGACATATATTTGTTTTCTGATTAAATTGAATCGTGACACACATTTAAAATATTCAGAACAATAATATTGTTGGAAAGTTTTTGAAAAACCATTAGGAATAAAGGAATTCGAAAAAAAATCATTTTTCAAAAATTGAGTTAATTTAGAAAAGAATTTAAATAAAATTTAGATAAATACTTAAACGTAGATTAATTTTTGATTGTATAGCTTAGATTTAAAAATGAAGTACAAATAAACCATAATCGAAACAGCAAAATCTCCAAATGCAAAAGTTTTAGTATTTTTTTAGGTTTTTGTGCGTGTGATGTGTGAAGAAATCTTTCACTGCAAAAAAAATTTTACTGACATTTATTTACATCGAAGAACAATAATTATTTTTAAAAAGTGAGCCTAAAATGAATGAGGACGCAACTATAAACATTATATCATTTACAAGTATGTATGTATGTTTGTATATAGGAGTTAGTTTTCTATTTGCACTTTTGTTCTTCTCATACATTTATAAAATATTGAAATAAATGTCCATGTATGTATGTATGTATGTACATATATTGTACTTTCGCATTTAGAATCAAAGAATGTGGGGTGTAGCATTACAGGTATGTAGATATTTTTAAAAATTTTAAACTGTAATTTTGGTAATGCCAGCTTTTTTAGGTTATTTTTAAAATAAAATGAAGATTTATGAATGGAATACGAACAGTTCAGTTATGTACGTTTATGGTTTAGTCTATATGTGTAAAACCAAATAAATGAATTTCAAGAGCTGATCGATTAGCAATAAAATTAAAAATTAATAAAGGAGCATATCAAAGCAAAAAAATTATAGGAATAATTTAAATTATAAAATATGTTGTATGTAGGAGTACAAGAATCTTTGTTATTTTGCATAATTATTAAAAAAAAACAAGAGTTAACTGCCATTTGGTTTATTTTATAATTATGCATATGTACATGTTTAAACGGGTAACATAAACATTTTAAACGAGTAACATATGTACATAACATAAAACAACATTAGCAAATGGATCACAAAACCAAGATCTTTTTGAGTGTGTCAGTAAAAAATTTAAGATAAGCATTATAACAATATATAAGTAAAAAATAAAAATACTGAATGCACATGTTTTAAAATATAAATTTTAACAATAACAAGAAAAATGATTACCTCTGCATAACAATTTAATTGAATTCCAATTATTTGTACCACCATTAGAAATATCAAAAATCTTTTTCTAAATTCTGTTTGGGGATGAAAAAACCCCATTTTTAATCAGTATAAATTTTATAACTTAAAAATATTCAAACACAAATTTTTCATAATATGCACAAATTTTTTTATATTAAATTATTCCTTGTTTAGTACACACGATAGCAATTTTTCCTTTATTCTTCACCGGATACACCTTACGTTTAAAATAATGCTGACACAAAATATTTAGAACATTTTTATTTCACATCCAAAGTAAGCACATGAAAAGATAATTTTACGCGAAAGCCGCCGAAAAAAGTTTGTTCAAAGTGTTATGTATGTAATATGAAAGAACTTCAAATATTAAAATTAAGTTTTTATTAAAAAATTTAGATTTCAACAAATTCGATTATTGAAAAGGTAAATGAAACGTGTAACGAAAACCAACACAAAACAATTACGTCCGCACCAGTTGACGGCGCATAACTGAATAAAAATTTTCTTTTATAAATATCTTACAACAGCAACGCCGTATTCTCAATTCTCACATTAAAATCATAACATGGTGAAATATATAATCTCTTGAAAAGGCTCTCTTGTTTTTATCGTTTCGTTTCGTTCACCATCATTCATATTACACAAACCTACAAGAATATGGTAAATTATATTTACTTCTTAAAATAAATTTCTTATATTTAGTTTTTATTTTATTTTTATATACTCACCACTCACTAGTCACCGTTCATTTTTTGAGAGAATAAAATATTGAGCATTTTATGAAATACATACACAAATATATAAACAGCTAACTGTAAAATTTAAAACAAGGAATGCAAATATCTATCAGTTACAAAATACAATTTAAGGTAAGTGGTGAAATACATTGTACTATAAGTGAAGAGTGGGTGTTATACCGCAAGGTATTTTAACCTTTTTTATTATAGTTAATTTTATGAAACGTTTCATTGGGGTTAACACGCATATTTTTGTGCACTGATACAGATATGGAGATTTATGCACTTCAATACGCAATGGGTTTATTAAATAAGTTATTTTTCAATTACATAAATTATTTCTATACTGTTAGTATAGTTTCATTTAACCAAAACACTCAAGCATAATGATGGATGCTTCATTTCGTTTATCTTTTGCCAATTTTTGAATTAATTTTAATGCTACCTTCAACATTTATTGTAAGAAAAGTCACAGTTAGAACTTAAAGAAAAAAGAAAGGGGTATGAAGTACATTCGTATTTTTTACATTAAAAACAGACAACAATAAAATTCAAATGAAATATGAAAGAAAGAGAAAAAAAAAATAGTTTCTAGAGCGTCATATATTTGGTTATGTACAGATTTTCGCCACTATCTAGATTTGTTTAATAGCATTCTCTTCAAAACACTATTTTACATTATAAAAACATAATTTTGTGGTTGCAATTCTTTTGATTTAAAAAAAAAAGATACTCATTTAAATGATTCAATACAAATCCAAATTTTGAGGAAATTAGTATTTGCATTTTAACGTATTGTAATTTTGACAAATTCATTTTAATGAAAACATAACAAATCATAACAGAACTTTCTTTGGCAATTGAATTATTGCACAAAAATGTAAAAAATCTACTTGCATTATACATACATACCTACATATGTAAGAATATTTCCTATATTCTTTAATTTAAACCCCGCCTTACAATACGTATAGAAATCAAATCTGAATCGCGCATGCCGCGGGCTGAACTTATCGTTATTTTATCAAGCATAAGAAGCACTGTTTTTGATAAATTATATACTCATGTACCTGTGTACATACTCACATACGGATTTATAAACTGTTGAATTCCAATAAATCAGCACATGTTTTATTCTGCTAAATTTGAACAATCGTGATTACATGTGTATATATTAATTTCAGTTCTTTTAAAATTCGTTATGTACAAATTTATAATATTTAAAAAAAAAGAAACAAATTAATATGAAGTTGTGTTTTGTTTCTATATCTGCGGAAGTTACGCGGAGATAATAAAAAAATTTACTTTGTACATATGTAAATTGCTTTAAAAAGTCTTAGAATTATTCCGATGAACATTTCAAATTTTGTATTAACTTTTTCCTCATTTAAGTAAAATAGATAATTTTAACGAGGGCAAAATTTTGGTTCAAGAACAACGAAATCGAATAAATATAAAAACAGATTTGAACCCAAGCAAGAAAAAGGTTATCTAAAATGACTGTTTTCATCATATTTGCTAAATATTTTCTGAATAAAATTCAAATGTATAAATTATAAAAAATGTTCAAAAAAGAACTTTAAATTTGTCAATTTAGGACTACAGCGTTTTCAAAATCCAAAAAAAAATATAATATTTCAGAAGAACTATATACATATGTATACTTATATATTAAAAAGACGACTTACAAAAAACCAAATTCAAGAATTTTTTTAACATTCTTAGCAATAAAAATTTTACAACACGAAGAATTTTCAATATAATACAGAAAACTGAATCATTTTTTGAAAACGTCACCATATTTTAAAATGAATGCACTTTTTCAAAAAATTAAAAATAATTTTTGATCAAAAAATACCTTTACGAGAGAGTACTTGTTATTTTTTATTAATTTAACTGAGCTAAAATTTATTTTGGTATCGTGAAGGGACTCAATATGTGTTATGCTTGCTGACATACATAAATAAACATTTCTTATGTAATAAAAGTGGTTATTGACACTTTTGCTTTGACATTTACAATATTTCTGCTAATGATAGTTTGATAAAAATATCATGTTAATATTAACAATCATTAAAAATTCTAGAAAATTTTTCCACTGACTAAACATAAAATGATTTAAAGAGATATGATTAGATCAGAGGATCAAAAATGCATACAATTTTTGTTGTGGGCTTGGTGCATCTAATCTGAGTGGCTTGATTCCTAACGTACAGAGATTTTAAAAAAATTTCAACATGTCTAACTTTTTTCTCCTAAAAAATTTTAATTTTTTTCACTTTTGATTACGAAACTCATATATAAATTTCAAATATGAGTTTATTTTGCTGTGTCATGGATGAATCAACTTTTGGTACATCTCAGGTTATGTGCTTAGCACATCAGATATTTTTACTTTTTTTTTTTACTTGCATTCAGTGCTCGAAATGAGGCGGGATGGAGTGGGATGCCTTCCCAGTACTTTTAAATAATTGGAAATCCATCCCACTATACTTAATAGGAGAAACATATTTTTTAAAATTTAAGAAAATTTTCTAATGAACTTTAAATATTTTTTTAACAGAAAATTAAATATATGTAATTTTAAATAAGACCAATTTCAAATAGTAATGTATAATTTTTTTCTATTAATGAAATTTTCGTTACTACATAGTAGTCTATGCATTTCTTTGGTAATAATTTGCGAAGTTTTTGATTCAATTTTTAGTTGATTTAATTTTGAATATAAAAATATTCTCGTTAGTTTACTTCCAAAGTTTGGTAAATTTTGTTTAGTTATTTTTTTAAAAAATAACTAAAATAATACTTTTTTTTTTTTTTATATTTTTTTTTTTACCATCCCACTGCTTTGAGTATCCCACTTCGACCACTGCTTGCATTTCGTTATGTGCTGAACACATAAGATTTCCTCACTTTTCTTTCTCACGGCAATTTTATGTGAAACTTTAAACTTCAAAAACTCAAAGAATTTTTTCTCATTACTTAAGCTTTAATTCGACCACCAAATGTTTAAAAATCTGATCCGGCAGATATTGCAAAAAAAATCTTTTGAATTTCGAGATTTGCAAATAACGTGCAGGGCACTTTTTCATGTGTATGAATAGCATTATTTAATGTCATGAGGCTCTTGAGATATAAAGGTTTTTTTTTTTTATAAAATATGAAAAGAACCCTATAAGTATAATTATTATAAGCTTGTGTTCTTTATGACGACTGCTAACCTAACCAAACTTAACCCACTCGATATGTGTAATAACAATAATAATAAAACAAAGCTCCATATTATAACAATGTCTAGTTTACTTTAAGGGTTATTATGGATATAAATAAGTAATATAGCAGAACAACTTAAGCGACTCACGTTTTGAATCCACTAAATGATATAACAGCTTTGTATTATCTTGTCTATTAAAATAAATTAGGATGCTAAAAGTATTAGATCAATCGAAATAGAAAAAACTAGGAAACTTACAACAATTATAAGAAAATTCGTTTTAATACTAAAAGGCACAGATGCAACCCAGCACAAAAGATGAAACTACCTTTTTCTTCTGATTTTTAATTTGTAAATGGTGCAAACCAGGATAAATACATGAATGTAGGTATCAAATATTTATGGTTTTCTTTTATTTTAACAAAAAATCTAGAAAGTTTTGTGTGTAAGCGTCCAAAACGATGCAATATGGCTCTTTTTACCAGGCTTTTTTTTAGATTTTGTCAACGACTCTAAAAAATTCAAATGAAATATATGTTGTACATACATACATATGTAATATATTACTACATTATAATAAATTTAATTACGTTATAATTGCTAGGTATCAGAGACGTACAATAACCTGTCGATAGCTTAGTCGTATATACATATTTCACGTGGAAAAAAAATGAAAGTAGCATAAAGAGAGTGTCAAAGTGAATTTGACAAGTAAAAATGTTGTTTTTTTCGAGCTGCCATCTCTGAAAAATCTTAAAATGAGGGAAAAAAGTTATGGAAAATTGAAAAAAAATCGATTTAATATAAATATTTATTTTTAATTATATGTATTATTTAATTCTGCATAATAAATTGTATAAACTAAAATAGTAAAGTTTTTATTACGGCCACACTCTTTTCACTTAAAAAAGTAAAGAAAACAAATCACTTTTTCATTTACGAATATTTTTTGTTGTTGCTGCACTTGGGCCACCGAAAATTCTATTTTTATTTAAAAAACAGTTATTTTTTAAAGCAACGCCACGAGATATTTTTTTTTCGGAAACCAAAATTATTTTTTTTTAAATTTTGGCAAATTTTTTTAAAATTCAAATGTTTGTTAAATTACTTAACGGATAAAATAAAAAACATCAGTTCTAATAAAACTTCAACAATTTTGCTTATGCATTTTATATAAAATTTTACACAAAAAATCAACGGCTGGAAAAATATTATTCCTTTTTGGTTTACAATGGCAACAACTTTTTATATTGCAGCATATAAATGATATTCTATGCTGGCTTCAATAATTTTCTGCTAATCTCTGTCCATAGTAGGTACATATGTGTATAACTTTGTTCATTATACAGAAAAAGAATTATTGTAGAATGTGTTCTCAAAGAATTACAAAAAGTTTTGAAAAATAAAACTCATAAAAAATAATTCTTTGATGTAGTGTTTTCTATATAATATGTATGTACATGTGAATGTATGCGATTTGTCTTTTTTTATTTGATTTTCGACCTGAAATTTAAAAAAGTAAACTTTATTTCTACATATGTATGTATGTATGTATTTATAACTTTTACAACTAATTTAAATTACTGAATAATCTCAAATGTATTATGATCCATCCAAGCAATCTTTTTTAAACTAGTTTCGCACGGGATGTAAATTAGGTATTAATTTATGCTTTTTATTATATAATGAAACTTGAAAGGTGTGAAAAAATCAAATATATATTTAATTAACAGAAACAGAGATCGAAAAATTTTGACTGCTGTCAAATAAGATTCAGATGTCAAAATAGTGTATAGGTTTATAGAAAAGAAAAATGGTGTTTACGTTGATATTTATAGTCGTATCCTCACATGAAAAACGCATGAACAAAGAAAATTTTTTTTTGTTTTTTTAAAGTTGTGAAAATATAAGAATGTACTAAAAAACTACGTTATTTTCTTTATATGATTATAGCAATTTTACATGAACATCTCAACGGATTATCTTCTACCCTAAATTCACTTCTATGCTCATTTTTCCTATTTACATTCCATTTTAAACCCACGCTCCCAGAGTCATCTATTGTAACCTTTATGATTTCACCTTACGGTAATTTTATTCAACAAATGCAAATCCTTACATTTGTTAGGCATGTGGTAAAATGTGTTGAAATTGGCAAAGTTGAAAATTTTGTAGATTTTTAATTTTAAAATTTCGAAAGAGCTTTTAAAAATTATTTAATATTAGAATGCAAAACGTAAAGCTCTCTATATTCGTAACATAAAAGCCGATTTTTATTAATTTAACAATTAGGGTAAACTTTAATAAGTATTATAATATATACTTATTATAGCTTTCTTACAAAAACTTACTAAAGTAGGTACACAAAGTAAAATGCAATGATTGGTTACATTAAATTTTTATCTATTACGAGTTCAACCATTCCAATTTTTTTTCCATAGAATATCCTTAAATATAAGGAAAGAAATTATTTAAAACCATTTAAAACCATTGTTTTCTCGTTCTTTGTTTTTTGTACTTGAACATTAGACAAAAAATTAAATTGACTTGATGTCCGTTATATTTATATAATATATACGCAATTCCTTTTTCTATTATGTAAATACATATATTATACAACGTATACACAACAGCATTTCCATAAATAATTATTACACAAAAAAGTATGATAAGTCAAACGTACACACGTTTCTATGAACAAAAGAAATAATTCGTATAAAAGATATCTACCAATTTAATAATCTCTTACTCACTTTATTCCCTTTCCTATAAGTTTTTTTTCCTTCTTTAAATTAAGTGGATCTGAAACAGTGATGCAACGAATGTTAGATCTGTGAGTTTTTCTTACACTTCAGTCCGAAGTACTTACATACCTTACAAAACTTATATTACACTATAAATTTTTGTTATAAAACTGAAATTTGAAAAATAATTTCGTTGCTTGTTTGAAAAATCACTATTGCTCAACAAAATTCATGTTTTGTGCTAATGCCAATGATTTATGAAACACGAACTTAAATTTTGAAAGCAGGTTATTCCCCTTTGATAGAAAATATTATATACATAGTATTATATTCTTAACTTTTGTGTGTTTTCGAAAAAGAGTGAAACCTTACACTTAACTAAACTAAATAGAGTTTGTAAAAAATTTTAGGTCACATTTTCTAAAATCAGTTATATTAGTTTCTAGTTTCGAAATAATTTTTTTCCTATTTATTTTTCACAAAAGTACTTTTGCTTTTGTAAAAATTTTCTGATTTTTCAAAAGCAAATTGACATAAGCCACATTGTGGCTTAAGCCACAATTCCGAACCCCTCATATATCTTTCGTATAATATTACATATACGATTTTTAAGAATGTAAACCGTAAAAAGTTCTCGAACACTCTTTGTTAGTTACGATATGAACAATATTTTATATATGTACCTACATAAAATTTGATGATCTTCCTTAAATGATTGAAGAATTTCCTATGCGGAAGAGCTAACCGACCGAGTGTGAAAATCATCCTACTTTAAAAAATGTTTTATTGATTTATTGATTTAAATATATGTAGTTCAGTTATGAGTACTTTGTTCGGATTGGTTTAATAATAATCTGAATATCTTAAAACCGTTATTCGTCTGGCTGTAATAAAACATGTACATTTTTTTACAACATTGTATACAATAAATATACCAGACTTTGTTCCGTTTTTGCTCTGTGCATTCTTGCAAAAGCTTTCAGAATTATTTTACGTATCATAAAGATTTTGCTACTCAATAAAATCACGTGTTTAACCCGAATGTTCAAAATTAATATCAAATGTGACTGTTAATGTACATACAGACATAATTATTTCACATTTATCGTTAAATTTTTAATGTCCTTAAATTTTTAGTTTTCATTATATTGTTGTATTATTCTAAGGATTACAACTCGTTTTTAATTAATTATAATAAATAAATAAATATTTATTTATTAATTAATTAAAAACTATTTAATAAAAAAAACTAATTAATTTCATAATACATAAATTTGTAATATACATTATATAAATGAATACAAAATAAATTTTTGAAATATGTATGTGCATTTACACACATATATGTATGTACATGATAAATGTTTATATTGAGTCCCTAAATATTTTTACTAAAATCATTTAAATAAATTTTAATTTTTTGTTAAAATCTATATAGTAACATTAACATTAATTTATTTATTTCCATTTGCTGATTGCAAGGATTGCTTTAGAAATTGAAGAAATTAAACAGTTTGATGTTTGTCAAAATTTATATTTTGAAACTTTGAATGAACTATCTTTAATAAAATAATTCCGTCAAAACAAAAGATGAAGAAATAAAAATCTTTCTCGAGAATTGGGTTATCATGGAATCCATTTTGAAACAATAAGCAAAAAACTAAAAACTAAATTAAAATTTGTTTTGCTTAAACTAAACAAAAGTTATAAAAGTTCTGAAGAATATTTAACTTACATATCTATATGCCTCAAAACCATGTTAGGCAATTCAAAATGTTTAAAAATCTTTCTTCTAAAAAAATCTAAAAATTTTTAAAAATTCTGTTCAAGACCTTTCCAGACCTAGTTCCACAGTCATAAAGAACCGACTTTTCGAAAAGTCATCGAACAAAATTTTAGAGATATTTGAAGCCTTTAGAACCGTATGTCTCATAAGCACATTTGGTTAGTTTTTCTTAAACCCCCATCGCCCGTTCAATGAGAGGATAAACCGAAACTGCATATTCGTAATACCGAGCAACGTACAGTAAAACGAAACTGAATAATTTGAACTCTAGTTATATCCATTCCGAGGGATGCAAGAAAATAACATAAAATTATAAGCACACCATGTGAAATTTAGTAAGTATACTGAAGCAAATCATTAAAAATTAAAAAAAAAAAAGAAATTTCCAATTGAATCATTGAATTTTCTATAAACTTTCAATCATATCACGTTTATCAGCTTTGCTTTTTAGATATAAATATAGTTCAAACAAAAATGTAGATTTCATAAAGCTTAATGTTTTTAACTTTGAAGATAATTTTTTCCCTCAAAATAGATATCCTTTTTATACTACGCTTCTATACAAATATTCGCGAATAAAAGAAATGGAGCACAGCTACCTACGTTGTTTTTCATAGAAAAGCTTTGTATTGATAAAAACAAAATAGTTCTAAAATAAAACTGCTTCATTTTCTTTCAAAAAATTCAATAAGCTAAAATATGTGCTTTTTCAGTATACAAAATAACTTGCATCTTTCTTTTACATGTTCAGTTCTTACGAAACTTTCAATCTTCTAAGTTGAAACGGAAGAAGCTACACTATTTAAGTTTTTTAATTAAGATTCAATTCTTCTTTAATTTAATTTATTTATAAAATTTGTATTACTTATATGAAAACGTAATGTCAAATTAATTACAGTTTAAAAAGTGTAAACAAGTGAAAATAATTAAAAATCTCAAAATAACAGATTTATCTAATTGATTTGCAATACAAACACAGAGTACGTAATCATCTACCAATAAATTATAATGTACACATCCTCGTGTCTATAATAATATATTTCAGTTAAAATATACGCACATAACTTAAACTGAAATGGTTTAAGTTATACTAATGTCTAAAATCTTATTTGAGAAGCTTGAGTCATATAACAAAAATTTATTTCTATAAATTAATAATTATAAAATAATCAATAATATATCATTAAAAAAATAAAGTTAATCAGTTAAAGGTATTACAACAAATTACGATTTGCCTAAAATTTATAAGAATTTTAATAGACGATACAGCAATTTATTGTTGAAGTATTAATTTTAAAAATAGATCAAGAGGTACACTTTATCGCCGCATAAAATAAATGCATATATTTTCAGTAAAAACAATATACATACGTACATTTATATAAATTCCAATAAAATATTTGAAGAACACAATAAAAAGGTAATTGAAACTTTTCTTGTAATCATGAGTTGTTACGAGTATAACTAAAATTATGGAATCAAATAATCACATTTACTTACGACATAAGTTATTATATTTTCTTGGGATGTGAAATTAAATATGGATGTATTGCGCATTTAATGGTATCATCTAGTTATGTAGTGAAGATTAGAAAACAGTTGAAATATACAATAATTTTTTACTAATTACTGTGGTTTCAGATTTTATATACATTTTTATAAATTACAGAATTCTTTAATCATACAGAAAAATGTTAGTTTTGTTTGTACTTAATTTACTAATTGAAGTAATTTCAAATTAATTTTTTTTTTAATTTTTTTATATGATTATTTAAAAAAACTTTTATGTCCATAACATGCAATTTTTTTTGTCAGTTAAGAATGTACTTATGTAGTTATTATGCGAACTGTGCTTAAGATGTTGTGTTTAAATTTAATGTTTAGAGTTCTTATACGAGTTCCAGTAAACTAAAATTAATTAAACAAAAAAAATAAAATTATTAATTTACAAGCCAATTAAATAAAAAAAAGACTCCGCTTATTAACATTTGTAAATATACAATATGTATTATATTTTTGAGAAAGAGAATCATAAACAATTTAAAAAGAATTTAGTGTGGAGGCCAAATTTTTTTTTTTGAAAAATTTTGTACAAATTTGCAAAATGCACGTCAATTAAATTACATAAAATTGTTTAACAAAATTTAACAAACGTTATCATACTATTTAAATAAGTGTATATAAAATAAATAATAATATTTTTTGTCGGCATGACATGTAAAGATCTACATATTTGTATACAAAATTTCAGCTTTTATTCTTAAAGGGTGTAAAAGTTTTGTAAACAGGCACGAAGAGACAGTCAACGGACCGAAACTAATAAGCAATTTTTTATATTTTTTTTGAAAAGTGCTAAATACTGCGAAAACAGTTTTCTAGATTCACGAAACTCATACAAGTACTTATCGCACATGTAGTTATTATTATAAATTATTAATAAATCGTAAGATGCGGTATACATAGGTACTTGTGAGTACTAAATATTTAAATAATGTCTCTATCGAGCAGAATAGCTAAAATAGCATACTATGATGTTATTATAAAAAATGGACAAATCGTCGAAATGCCTGATACCTTTGAGCACTAAATATTTAAATAACATCTCTATCAAACTATGCAATAATAGTATGATAGAGGTAGTAATATAAGGTTGCTATGGCAATAATGACAATCTAGTCATGTATTCAATCATTGAATATCTCACCAAATATAATTTATTATGTCAATAAGTGAGGTCGAACTAACAATTGATGACTATGACACTACTGTTTTTTTTTTAAATATAAAAATATTTTGTATACAAATTTAATATACCTCCGAATATGTTGTTATAGCTACGAATTTGATCTAAAAGTTCTCAGATTTCAACGTAATTAACTAAACAAAATGCGTATGTGTGTATTAATATAATAATATGTTTAAGTTTTGTTTACTCTAAGCAGAGCAATAAATTTAAAAAATTTTTAGTATTTCATATTTATTTCAATGAAAAAAATACTATGTACAACAAAAGTACATTTGTAAATGTTAAATTGCCTATATTTTGTACCTACAGCTACTATCACTTATATATTTAGATACATACATACATATGTTTTGTTTTACATACATGTTTTACATACATACATACATGTGTTTTTATATCATGTATAGACATGGATACATACGTTCTAATTTTAGTTTGTATATTTTTTTAAAACACAAAGGAGTAAAACCGTTTCTAAAATTAAAAATTATTTACAAAAAAAAAACAACAGTATAGGAAAATATTTAGCAGTCGATTTCGCAAATATTTTTTAAAAATGTAGAGAAGGCTTTGAGAAAAGCTGTTCAAATTTTTCTACAAAATATGTATAATGTTATTTAACATACGTATATGTATGTATGCGCACATATAAAAATGAACGTAAAATCTAGGTGACACGGCTTGTAATAATGTAAATTAAACATAAAAATTATACATAGACAAACAATATTTCCAATAAAAAAGGAAAATTGACCTATCATTTATGATTTTATGATAATTAAATAATAATTATGAAAACTACATTTACTGATCATGCACGTTATGCAGGTGCTAGAGCAGAATGCCAAGGTGTATATAGCCAAAACGACGGAGCACAAAGATTTTTGTATTTTTTTTCCAAAAATTAAATTCGGGACTAAAAAGTTCCTGTTGAGATATTTGGATCTCTAATATTGTATTAACGTCAACTGTCATTCACTAAATTCTTAACAAAATTTATTTAAACTTGATAATATAACGTCTTATATCACCTTATACATATAACGTATATGTTTCATCAAAAGTTGAAAATGTGAACAAGTTATGTATAATGTATTACGCATGTCGAGCTTCGGCGAAAATGCACTTCTCAATGGTAGGGAAACGTAAATAAACTATTTTTAGATAAATTTCTGGCGGTCTGTTTGTGAGTCTGTCCGTGTAGATTAGTATCTCAAGTTTGTCCGAACCAATTTGCAAGAAAATTTATTTCTAAACTTATTTCGAGGATGAAACGATTTGATGAATTGTTTTGGTACATGATAGGTTTAAACGGGTCGATTTTAACATGAAATGAACAATGAATTTAAAAGGTTTTTAGGAATGTCAGGACTAAAACAAAAGTTTCACTATTGGCCGACAATTTTAATCATATCTAAGGAACTAATTGAGGAAATTTACAACGTTTTTGCTAAACTAGACAATCCATCTTGCAACCGGTTGCTGACCACATCAGATTTTTTTAATAATTTTGATATTATCATTGTAATAATACATTTTTTTTATATAAAATTATATTTTGAAATTAAAATCAAAGCAGATTTGAACTTCGGATCATCCACTTAAAACGCGGAATCTGAGCACTTAGTCTGACAAATGACCACCAAGCTTAATTGAATTTGATTTTAATCATATTGATTTATTAATACAAACTGATAGAAAATTTAAGATTACAATATTTAAAATTAAACATATATATAAGTAACAAAAACGTGTACACTCCGAAAAGGTATTAAAGAGTTTACAACTTTTGTTCCGGCACTTTTTTGAAATTTTTTCTCCAGGCACAAGATTGAAACCTTAAAGTAACAAACTGTAAAATATTAGATTTGGAGGTGCGGATAAAATGTGATGTCTTAAATTAAAAGATATTCGAGAAATAATCTCATATTGCCAATTATAACACCTTTTTTAACTACAATAGTATTTTTTCGATAACTAATAAACTTTTTTCAGGAGCAACTAATTCTATTTCAACGATAATGGGCATAATGTGGAAAAATATTTTTTTATTGCTTTTGATAAAATCTGCCATCGCAGGAACTTTAGGTATAACTCTCATTTAATATAAAAAATAACACAACAATTACATATAATTTTAGAAGTTCTCAATTCAATTGAAATTCAAATCGAACACAACATAAAGGATAAACCTATTTTAAATACAAGTGAAATAATTACAAGCGACTTAACCGAACCTTTTATATATTATGTAGACCCGTCCTCTTTCGCAGATGTATACGATGAAGAGAGTTGTATGATTTTCAGCCATAATAAATCTTTTGTCCAAAATGAATGTAAGCACATTTTTAATATTCACGTGAATTGCATACCAAACCGTGGATGCGTAATCGTATTTTCAAAGATCAAAGAAAAATTTTTTTTGTTTCTTATAAACATTGAAATCGTTAACTATTAATCGTAAATGCGCTTAAAAGGTTAAAAATTAACGCAAATCTATATTTTATGTATGTATATATACATAATATGTAAATATATTTATATAAAATGAACAAAATATAGTTCTTACATATTTATGTGTACACGCTCTATAAGTACATATATAAACATTGTAAACAAGTACTGTTTACTTATACGACAAAATCTAAGATTAAATCCACAATAAAGTCTGATGATTGTTTACATATCGAACTGAAATTATCTCAGACTTACGTCACAATGCAACAATTTTTTATGAAAATTATAACTTTGACAAAAATCAGCTGATCGCACAAATTATATATATAAAGAACTTTTTAAAATTAGTCGCTTGTTTGTTACAATCACTTTTTGTAAGAATATTCAAAAAAAACTTTTAGCCTTTACCATGAAATACTTTGTTTTTATTGGCCATTCGAAATTAATTTTTTACTTTTTAGTACATTTGATACAAGGGTTGTTTTTTAAAAAGTTTTTTTTTTATATTATTTTGTTTTATGTTTTTTAGTATTTGTGATTTTATGTATCTTAATTTTATATGACTCGTATTATGTATATTTATACTTAATTTCTTTGCAAAGATATTAATAGTTGCATTTCCTCTAAAAGAGGTAAACCAACAGTGCCTTCTTGCATTTTGCAAAAAGTTTTGTACCTAATGAAAACATATTTACTCAATTTATTTCGGTAAAAGTATGTAATTTAAACTTAAATGTTTTACTAAAGAATTTTTGTTAAACCTCCATATTGCAATATATTTCTGAGTATTTTATATTATATTATCAGTTATAGTTTTGATCGCAGGCTCAACAGAAGTTTTTTGGAAGCTCAACAAACCGAGCCTTCCAATTTCAAGAATGTAGCTGTAATTGATTAACATGGCCAGAAAATGAGTAGTTCGGCGGCTCAACGAACAGAGCTTTCCTCAACCTTGATATTGTAGTATATTCCTAGGCGCAACACTCGACAACATTTCCTAAAATTTCAAGTATGCAACTTTTTAGATTAGCACGGACGAAAAATGAGTTGTCAGACGGCTCATCGAACCGAGCCGTATTCAACCTCCACAGTGAAACCTATTTGTACGCACAAGACTCGACAACTTATCCTAAAATTTGAAGTATTTGGCTTTAATGGATTCAAAGCTATCGGCTTTCGCTAGAGAAAAGTTGAAATGAAAGCTCATCTTCCATACAAGCCACCTGAAAAAAAAAAAACAAAACAAAAATATTGTTTAAAATCGGTTAGAAAATTCCAAACATCCGGTGTGAGTTAATATAAGTATTGCAACAAGTTAATTGTCGCCATTATACTTTTAAAAAATTTGATGAGAAAGTGTAATTTCCATTATTTGCCCTCAAATAAAATCTGATGTCAAACACGGGTTTACATGTACGTCGGCTTTCATCAGACTCAGATTAAATCGTAAATATTGTCGTAAATGTATACAATAACAAGAGAAACAAGGTTTAGCTATACATAAGCATTCGAAAAAATCTTTCATTTCGGAAAGCAGTAATGTTCGTTCAAAAACCTAGTATAAAACGAGAAAATAAAGTTGACATTGTCAACTCTGTGATACCCGTACGAATTTGTCATCCTGTTCGAGAATAAATATGGCATAACTGACTATGGGACAGACTATGACTTTAAGTTGCCGTATTACCATATTAAATTATGCAAAATTTCAGTACTGTTTTTTCTCAAAATACCGTGTGTGCAAACTACTATTGAAGTTGTACTGCAGCTACCAGAAAGAGCCAAGCGATTTTAAGGAATTTTATCAAACACATCGGTCCTACTAATATATTCTTTTGTGTGAAATTTCAATACTACTCGTATAGCTTCTACAGTTTCTGAGATATAGCCAAATAACTTTTGAAGTTGTATGGCAGCTACCAGAGGGAGCCCATCTATTTCAACGACTTCTATCAGGCACATTAGCTCTACTAATATATTCGTTTGTGTGAAATTTCAAAACCATAGCTTTTATAGTTCCTGAGATATAGCCAAATAACTTTTGAAGTTGTATGGCAGGTACTAGAAGGAGCCAAGTAATTTCAACGACTTTTATCAAACACAGTGGCCCAGCTAATATATTCACTTGTGTGAATTTTTAATACTACACCTTTAATAGTTCCTGAAATATAGCCAAATAAATTTTGAAGTTGTATGGCAGCTACCCGAATCGGTATCCCGATCATGTCCAATTTAAATAGGGTTGTGATACTTACTACAATTATTTGTGAAAATTTGGTGAATTTAGCTTAATTAGTTTTTGAGTTATAGTTGGGACGGACGGACAGACGGACAGACAAAGCTAAATCAACTCAGAATTCGACGTTGATCAAAAACATATATTTGAGTCTATATCTCAGAGCATTATTTCTTAGCGTTACAAACGGTAAGGAAAATTTAGAATACATACATACGTTCTTACGGGTATAAAAAGAAATATAACGAAACAGATTGTTCACTAAAGTTTTGCGAGAATCAATAATATTAAAAAATATTAAACAAGATACATATATAAACAAATAAAAAATCTTTAATTCATTTTTAAATATTTGTTTTTAAGATCCATTATATCACCAATTTCCATAATAGAAATTAGTAAATACTCGTATGTGGAAAAAAATTATTTTCACTTTTTTAGGTAATGTGCACAGTTGATAAAAATTTGCAAAGAATTTATTGTTTTTTTGCTTCTGATAAATCGTATTAGTAAATTTTATCACCACTTTTGTAAAAAAAACGGTTGCATGTACTTGCATAATTTCGACACAAAATATATGTACGAGCACCGAAAAATTAAATGAAAATAAATATTGTCGAATTAAATGTTTTGCAGATTCACCACTGCTACTTTCTATGTGGTAGTGCATATATTTTTACTGGAAAGATGCTTTAACTTTGTTAGCTAATATTTCCGTCTGTTACTCTCTATTTTTATTAATATGTATACCATTCTGAAAACCAAACTATTTTTTGTTTGATCTTTAAAAAATGACGATCAGTTGCAAGCGCTATGAGAACTACACAAAGGCAACTCTTGAAATTAAATAAATACAGTTTTGATATTTGATATATTTATAGCATATTGTAAATGGATATGGGAAAAGCATTTATGTTGGCCGTCAACCCCTGCTGGTAGTATTATTCGTCAGCAATGTCCAAATTTTTCGGAAACATTGAAAAATTGTAATATAACTAAAATCTAGTCATATAGTCTACATTTTTGACTAAAATTTTTTTAATATTTCAGACTTTGCAGAAAGGATTTGTGGTCTTAATGGAGAGTGGATTGAAAATTCCGAAATACATATTACTCGAAAAAATTATAATAGTTGGGCTAATTTATCAAACTGTTTTAAATTAGAAATTTGGGATTTAAAAAATAGTACACTTGAGGTAACAAAAAAATTCGACTTAATTAAAAACGTAACCCAAGAAACTTTTGGAAATTTTACAACACCTACAAAGGAAACTTCTATGATTACGAATATTGATAACGAATCTGACATTCACTATATTGATCATTTGATTTCTACAAGTATTGATAGCGAATATAAATGTCTATCTAATTACAATGAAACGTCAGTTTATAATGCAAGTAAATATTTTTGTGATGCGTATAGTTATTTTTACTTTTTTTGGCATAATATGTACGAGTACATATGCATATGTATGTGCTGTATATATACATATGTTATAAACGTATGTATGTGCAAAACAATTATATTGCAATTTTATTTATTTTTTATTTTTCAGTAAAATAAAATAATTTCAGATTATAAAGATCCCAGTTTTAGCGTAGATAGAGACCATACGTACAAATGATCCCTTTATCCGAATGTATAATATAGATTGTTAAATTACAATTACCGTTAATAAAGAAGCATGAGTAAGACAAGAATATTCATTTTTCCTACATATTACCGCTTCTTTTACAAATATACGAAGAAATAGAATGCACTACTTTATATGGACTTAAAAAAATAGAAGAGACCTTAAAAATAAAAAAAAATCATTGAAATTTTTTGTTGGCTGTTCTTTTTTATAAGATCATATAAAACTCCCGTCCAAAGTTTGCACATTTCTTTTTAGATTTGCAGAAAAATTCTAATATGTATGGAAAAAAGATCTGTTCTTGTAACACAATCTTTCTTTTTCTTTATTTATGCTGTTACAATTAAGGTAAAAGGCATTTTTGCCGCTGTATATCAATATGCAAGCAGAAGAGTAAAAAATCCTTCCTTTCTCTGACATAACAAAAAAAAACTTACAATCTCCCAATCGACCTTATATCTAATGGTTTTTGATCAATTTCCAGCAAAAAATTGTCTGGGGGGGCGGGCTTTTTGATATACTGGTGTTCGAGCTACAGCCTGTTGAAAAAAGATACCTGCATATAAATAAACGCCTGTAAGTTTGGAACCATGCGACATAGAACAACGGGAGCTTGTTTTGCAGGCGATTGATTGCTTTTCACTTCTTATATTACAAGCAATTTGAACTGAGCTATAGTTTTGAAAATTATGTCAAAGATAGTTTCAAAGTCAGAATTTTTGTTTTTTGAAATATTGTTTAAAAACTCCAAATTTGTATTTTTTTTCGATGCGCTACAATGAGAGCTAGGACTTACCCATATAACATTTTCCTCTATCTCTCATAGTTTCGCCAGTAAAGTGTGTTAAAGAATAGTGTAATTAAATGTGTTTAAAAACATGCGAAAAATTCATAGTTCATACATTTCATACAAATATGACATCCACCAAATGTTTTTAGTTTAGTATGTATAATAAGAAATTTGTATGTAATGTATGAACTAGGCATTTTTCGCATGTTTTTTAAACACATTTAACGCGTTTTACTGTCAAAGCTATGAGAGATAGGTGAAAATATTATATGGATTAACTTTTAGATCTCATTGTAGCGCATCGAAAAAAAATGGTTTGAATATGCAAGTACACTTACAAATTTTTAAACTATAATTAATTTTTTACATATAAAGTTTATTGTAATTGGACATGGGATAAATACTTGTGTTGGCCCTTAACACCTGCGGGAACTATAGTACGTCAAAAATGTCCAAGTTTAATAGGTGTAATCAAAGATCGTGAGTATAGAAAAATATGCAATTTCAAAGTTACTTCATAATATCAACATACTAGTGATATATACTAATTATTTTGATTATTAACTTCAGATTACGCAGAAAGAGCGTGTGGCTATAATGGCAGATGGATTGGCAAATTCGAATCACAGACATCGTTAAACAATTCAAATGGTTGGACAAATTTTTCAAATTGCTTCAGGGGAGAAGTCTGGGATCTAATAGAAAAATGTAATACAGGCGGTAATTGTGATGTAAGAAAACTAAAGTTACTCTATGTTGACACTAAAAAGTAATGATTTTGTATTTTTTTAGGAAAAGTATGAAATTGCTAAACGTACAAGAATTTTAGAAACAACTGGATTAATATTGTCTTTTTTTACACTTTTGCTGTCTTTAATAATATTTTTTAATTTTCAAAGTTTACGGAATTCCAGAACAAAAATTCACAAAAACTTATTTATTGCTATGGAAATTCAAGTGATAATTCGTTTAATTATTTATTTTGACCAAAAAATAACAAGACAAAATGTTGATGCATCTCAATTATCATCAAGTGGAATCGAAAACACTGTACAATAGTTAAAAAATTTATAATAATATTATTGATGTTAAACATTTTTTTTAACAGCCGTACTTATGCGAATTCTTGTATTTCCTTTTGGAATATGCTAGAACGGCTATGTTCATGTGGATGTTAATTGAAGGAATTTATTTACACAGTGGTGTTACATGGATAACAGGAACAAGTACAAGTGTTTAAAAATTCATATTTTTTATATATAAACTTTTTGTATATAAACTTTTTTAGGAAGATTTCCATATATCGCTTATGCAATTATAGGTTGGGGAGCACCGTTATTAATGACTGCGGTTTGGGAATTTTTTACGGTAAAATATCATAAAGGCGAAAAATGTTTGTTCAATTACAATTTGACCCCATATTATTTAATATTGGAAGGTCCACGCCATGCTGTCATTTTGGTAACATAATTCCATAAATACACCCAAAACCTTATAATAAAAAAAAATTGTTTAGTTAAATCTTATTTTTTTGTTAAACATTATAAGAGTGTTAGTTATGAAACTAAGGCAAAGCCACAGTAGCGATCTGGATCAAGTTAGAAAAGCAGTTCGTGCAGCAATTGTATTACTACCACTTCTAGGAATAGCTCATATACTATTTTATTTTGAGCCAACCGACAAAAGTGTCCTTATATTTGCTATTTGGTCATATACAGCGCATTTTCTTCGTTCCTTTCAAGGCTTCTTCATAGCACTAATATATTGTTTCATGAATGGTGAAGTAAGAAAACTATATACATACATAAATACATACATATTCAAATGGTCCGGAAGTGGCGTTAAAAAAAATTATTGAAGTTGATAATTAACATTTTTTTGAAAAATTTAGTTTATTTAGCTGTTTAGTAACTATTAAACGAAAAAGGTACATCTAACATCAAGTGTTGACATTACCTGCTGTCATTGACGTTTGTGAGGCACAATCTTTTTAATCTGATTTTCTTTAAACCTCTAAAACGTACCTAGAACTCTGGGTTTTCCCCTCCCTACACAAGGGACATTTTTTAATAAGAAAAAACATCAACTAATCAGCCCTAGAGAACTTTAACACCAATTCCAGATCACGACCTGTATATTGTTGATACATATAATGAAATCAATAGTGTATGGATAAAATAACACATGAGCAAAATTACATACAGTAATTACAAAGTTCGTAGGAAATTTTTGCATAAAACAAAAATTGTTTTCTATTTAAATTTTTGCACAAAATTCATAAGTCAAAAATACATTATGTGCATATACGGCCAAAATATTTAATGGAAAAATATTAAACATAATACATACATACATACATATGTACATATGTATTAAAAAGTTAAAATTATTTAGGTTAAAAACTTTTAAAGGCAACAACTGCTTATTTAAGCTTATAACTATCTATTGTATTTTCAAAACTAAAAATATTCTGTATAAATCTTCTTACGTTGTGTAAATACTTCGATTTCAATATCACCTTCAAGGAAATTAGAATTATAGATCATCTTCAAGGAAAACATTTTAGGAATGTATAAAAAGTCACCTGTTTTCTGTATTTACATTAATAGTAATTTTGTCTTACATATGTAGTTTTATCCAGACGCCAAGCAGTTTTGTCATAAATGCATAATAAACCACCTTATTTTATTAAAGGTTCGTACTGCTATAGCAAGAAGTTTGATGATTTATATGTCATTAGAAGACAGAAACTGGTTTCAACATCGATCATCTATGTTCTCTGGAACTTACTTTCCGGACACTGAAACTCAAATGGACAATTCCAACAAGTATACACGAATAAATAATTTGAAATCTTATATATACTTATGTTTATATTTATAATTCTTCTAAAATAGAAAAAGCTCTTCTCCAAGGTCTAGATCCAATAGAAAACATAGCAATCAAAAGAAGTGGATATTCTGCAATTGTTTTTCAAATCGAACTTTAAACGAACAACAGAGAACTGCAGTTCCTGAGTCAATTATATTTGAACTCTCAGAACATTGACATTTTTCCAATAATAGTGATTAAAATTCATAAATTATGTGTATATGTACATATGTAGATATTTATTTACAAGTACTTATAAACTTTTATTTTTTATTGTATAGGAAAAAACAATACATATGCATACATGTGTGCATATACATACATATATATTTGTAACGATAATTTTTGTCTCTCACAATAATGCAAAATTTCCCCCACATGCGACGTTTATTTTACTATTCTCCTACACTCGGTCTGCACGCGTCTCAAGCAAAATGTAAAAAAAAACACCTCGCACTACTGTGTACCGTTAAAGATTAACGACCTCTTTCAAAAATAAACTACGCCCCGATCAAGTGTAGGAGAGTCGTTAAAACTAGCCCAGAATATCTTCCACAAAAATATGTACGTGTTCTATTGTATGAAGTCTGAAAAATTTTCAGGATATGTACATAATTTGAACATATTACATACATACATATAACAAGTTACAACAAAAAGTGTTGTCGTATAAACTTTTGCAATATTTATTTAAGAACTAAAGCCCAATCTAATAAGGAAATAATAATATTAAAGCTCCGATATACAATCTTATAACTTTATTTTAATATTTTGTCACGCTTATAATCAAATTTTATATAAACAATTTTTGAAAAAGAGTAAAATTTTCGTTAATATTTAGAAAATTGGCAAAATACGACTTTTTATGAAAAAAATTGGCCGTGAGATCGAAATGAATTTAAAGAAGAAACGTGGGACATGTTTGGCCCATTTGGGCCAAAGTAACAACTCTACTTTGGGTCCGTATTGCAATCAGTGTTGCCGTCTCAAAAAACAAAAATCGCTAGTTTACATCTTCAGAAATATAAAAATCGCTAGATTATATTATTGGTTATGAAAAACAACACTAATTTTAATTACTTTAAAGCAGAGGTTCACAGACTCTTTAGACCCCCTTGATACTTATTCGACCCCCTTAATTAAATTCATATTTTTTGTAGACCTCTAGCAGATCTTCATGGACCCCTGGGGGTCTATATAGACCATTTTGGGAATCACTGCTCTAAAGAAACAACAAAAACATTAAGAAAAAACACCATTATATAACAAAGGAAAAAGCATAATTTAAAAAAAAAAAAAAACAAATAAAAATTTCAAAGCAAGGTTTCTAGTTAAAAAAGATTAGGATTTCAAATAAAAACATGCAAATGAACATATTAAAAACAAAAGTTATAAAAAATTAGGTACTGTATTTTTATCAAAAAAACCAAAATTATCAATTTTTTTTTCTTTTTTATTATTTTATGTTTAATTTCTTAAGAAAAGTTGCTAGAATGCGTGAGTAATTTCATAGAAAATATGCTTTTCTCTTTTTATCACCTAAAAATTACTCTACAGGAGGAAAGTAACTCCAACGGTATCAACGATTTTAGTTAGGCATTACGTAAGCAAATGTATATGTTAAAATAGTGTGTTTCAACGAGGCCATATTACCCTCCAGTGGGCCACAGCGTATTTTAAGGGGGCCACAGATGAAAAAGTAAAATTAGGGAACCACGACGATTTTAACTTTCTTATTACTTTTAATATTTTTAAGATAAACTTAAGAAAACAGGTATGTATGTCAATTTAAATGAAAAGAAAATAATATTTTCATGAAAATTAATATTTGTAAATGGAAATGGATTATGTTGCGTTAACAACTTACGAAACAAAATTATAGCCATTATAGTTTGCTCTGATCTTCTTACTTTAGTTATGTATTTATTTTTATAGAAATCGTATCAGACATTGCTATAAAAGCGAGTCAAAAATGCTTTCAGAAAAAGTAAACTTAAAATCAACCGTGTGAACTTTTTTAAAGATATTTTGATTAGTTCTGGGCTCCATCGAAAGTTCGAATATTGAATAGTTTTAACTATCGCATAAATAAATATTAAATATATTTCGGTATCGAATATATCGAATAATATTTGCATTGAATTCAAAGCTCTTTTGTAATAGATAATGTAACGTATGCCAGATATTATATTGATAATGTATAATACACTTTATATTAGAATAAACAAAAATTATATTTTACGTATACACTTATTGAATTTAAAATTACCACGTTTGCTTTTTTTTTAAATTTTGCATTACTCTTTAATTTCTACATTTAATTTAAACTTTTTTTCAACTATATGTTTTCAAAATTTTAAAACTGACTAGGTGTGTAAAAGTAAACTGACTAGGTGATTTATTTTTGCATTTTTGAGTTTTTGTCATTTGTTCACGTTTCATATTTGCCTCTTTTACATGGCAAGTTGCATACTTGACTTTAAATCGTCTCGAAACCCAAGCTGGTTTTTACAATGTTAATTTCAAAGACCAAAAACTAGATTAAAATGACGTTATTATATTTCAAGGCATTATTAACATTTCAAGTCAAGTAAGCAAAATTTTTTTCACGCCTTCTTCAAAACAAATAATGTTTGTGTGGATATGAAATGAGCTTCAAGTAAGCTTAAAACTGCCATCTAAATGGGTTAATATTTAAGCAGTACACGAGTATTAATTTTTCATATCAACATATTTAGGGTAAAACTGTTAGTGTAAAATTCCTTTTAAAAAAGGTGTTACTACATTGTATTTAGTTTCTGAGAGTGTGGTCAATTTTATTTGGCAATTGTTATTCCTTTATGATACTAACATGTTGCTTATATTACCGTGTTTTTTTCACACAATTTTATGTAAAGAAAACTTAAAATATTTAAGTAAAAAAAAAATCTTTTTTAACAAAGAAGAAAAATTAAAAATATTCGATAGACGAGTATCGAACATATTGAATAAATCTTACTCATTCGCATATTTGAAAAGTATAAGTTATTTGTAACAACTCGAATTATTCGATAGTGGATATTTGATAGTTCCCATCACTAATTTTGATTGACAATGTAAATTGAACGAGCCATCATATATAACTCAAGAATTGTATTAAAAAGTTGAAAAAGTTTCACTAAAGCTTATTGCAAAATTAATTATTTTATTTATTCTAAATGGCTAGGCGTGATATAGCATCAGCTTTGCAAAAAGTGCGTGCTTTTCTTTTAGGAGTAAGTAATCGAAACTGTTTTAAAAACTAAGATATACATGTGTGTGCCAACTATAAAAAAAAGTAAATTGTCTTATGCAATTATAATAGATAATATGTGAACATAATTACTGTGCAAAGATTCACATGCTTGTAAATCATATTTGACTATTCTATGAACTTAAGTGCAATTACAAACGCAAAAAATTTAGAGCAATTTTAATTGTTTTTTAAGCTGCTATAGGATATACTTACATTTCTCAACTTAATTTCAGAAGTACTTGTTTATAATTCTGCAATAACTCATGAACTGAATTATGTTTAAGTCCTGCATTTCAGCATTTTTGAAATCAAATATATCCCAAGAATGTACATATGTATATAAGTATTGTTTAATAAATAAGAACCTACATGTTAGTTTGAGTTTTATAAGGCAATAATTTCATGCGATGTCTCGCTTAGAATTAAGTATAAAGCACCCCACATTTCACATGGTTAATATTCGTAATACAAAAAAAAAAGAATTGAATAGGTAGGGTACCCCAGTTTATATTTTAATTTATCTGTGAGTCCAGTCACAGTTTAATTTGAAATGATTTCAGAATTGAAACTCTTTGCTGAATATGACTAAATTACAAACAACATTTAAAATTTTAAATTTTGATCTAGTAAATTTTTATATTTATCTTTATCAACAGTATAGCTAACCTATTCAAAACGTAATGGGGCAGTAAGGATTGCAAAAGAAGCTAAAAGCTTGTGTATTAATTCACACATAAAGTGATGAATAGTGATTCATTATAAACACAAGCAGTATAATGTACCTAACATTAGCAAAACCCTCGCTTTAGGATTTTGCACTAATTAGAAACTCAAAAAAATTTGTACTTTTAATTTCCAAAATTATACGTTTGTCTTCAATCTTAAGATAAGAAAAATACATTTATTTAAAAAAAAGACGATCATACGCTTTAAATCAAAAATTTTAGTTAAAGATTTGGAAAAATTTTTACTTGTTCACTACTTGTAAAATCATATTAAAAACATTTTCAGCGAGAATACACTAATGCTTTAAGATTTGAAGATGGCATAGCAGCCCGTACACAGCCGCCGCCTGAAGTACCCGGGGGACCAGCACATATTTTATCCGCCAATTATTATTGTACACGAGATGTCAGAAGGTATTAGATCAAATTTAAGATCGAAACGTAGGTATCTAACGAAAATCTTACTTTCAGACTTGTTGCTCCGCCTATTAATGTCGCACATATAGCTTTACCTGCACATAAAGAGTCATCGGTTGGTAATACTCATGACATTAATATTTCAACGCCAGGCAAGGTGCACCATTATTAATAAGTATTGGTTCTGCAGAGTTTTCAAAGGTTATCATTAAAATAGTAGCAAAATGATAGTTTACAACTCAATATTTTAGTTAATATAATGAATTCATTAAAAATCTTAAATGAAAAACGAAAATTTTATTTCATTTTAAATTTGAATTTGATTTTAAATTTGATTTTAATTGATATAATTGATGGAGCACATACATTTATGATTTTGTTTTTGAAACTTATCGAAGTAAAAAAACAAAAAATTACCAAAATTAGAAATAAGGCGAATGCACAGAGTTTTAAATATATTTACGTATTGGCATGTAAAATTAGTGAACTGAGATGGGGTACTTAAAAAAAATTTAGTTAAAGGATTTATTCCAGTGATTTTCAAGTATGTATACATTAGATATGAATATGCACGTATTGCATACAATGTATGTATACATTAGATATGAATATGTACGTATTACATACAATGTATGTATACATTAGATATGAATATTTATGTATTACAATTAGCACATATATTTATGAACTCGAATTTAAGACATAAAATTAATACTTATGAACATACATGCATAAATACCTAAAGAATTGAAAGTCGTCAGATTTTTGACTAATGGTCTTTTCCACGGCTGACTAATTAAAATTTGTTCCAATAACCGTCAACTCGCGAGGTATTTTCCGAAAAAAAATATTATGATTTGAAATTACAATTTGGAACATGATTAGTAATCGTGTATCTCGCTTTTTTACTCACTTTTTATTCACTTTAAAACCAAAATTCTTTGTTTATATAATGAATATTTATTTTTTTCAATTAGATTACTCATTTTTTTAATTAGATTATTCCTTTTTTTTAACTTATCAACTGAACGTCTCATTTTCAAAATGAGAATAAATAAATTCAGTGAATAAATTTTGCGTACAAAAACGAGATACGCAATATCAAATAATTTTTCTCACTCGAAAATTATATACAAATATATGATAGTTATCCACAATAGCGAGATTTGAAAAAACATTGAATTTAATTTTTTTCTGATTGTCTTTTTCTTTGCTCCGAGAATTGTCAAAATCGTAATAGGGACGTTTCTTTTATCTGGCTTTATTATAAAATATGTATGTGTAAGAAAAACAAGTTAACATATTTTGTTTGAAAGTTATTTTCAAATATTTATTTGAAACGTCTGTAAAAAATATTCAAATTGAAACAAAAGTCATTAATTTTTCCTCTTTGATAATCCCTTTTCAACACTTTTTATATAAAAAATAAAATATAAAAAATCTTAAATTAGAAAATTTTATTTGTTTACATTTTGTACCAGCCTCGCTGACTTTTCTAAAACATAAAATTAAATTAAATAAAATTCGCTGACTTTTCTAAAAAACAAGAGAGAGATAAATGTCAAAAAATTTGGTTTTTCTACTTCCCTTTCATAACATTATATTCACATTAAAAAAATTTCTATCAGCTGGTAACACTGGAATGAATATTTAATTTTCTGCATTTAAGAATTTAGTGCTGTAAAAATATAAAATAGTGTAGCGATCGTGGTTTTGATCAAATTACTTGTTAGTAATGTTTTGCATTAAAATGAATAATCATACATATGTTTATAATTAAGATAATATACTTCAAAACTAAAATAAAATTAAAATAATAAAGTGTGAATCTATAAGAAAAATTTTTAGTCGAGATGAATTAAGATATGTATACGAAACATAAGTAGTTTATTTAATAAAAAATAAATTTTTTGATTTTAAGATCGCAATCAAATAGACATTTTTTTAAGGGACAAAGCAAAACTTAGATTTTTCAGTTTATAAATAAGGTAGTTAATTATTTCATTAATTTTATTTCACAAATTGTATATCAAAATTAAGATTTATTTAGTATATAAAATTTAAATTAAGTGTGTAGGTGTTTGTAAGCTATCTTTTCCTCAATGTTCTCAGTGTACTTAACTAAAAATTTTATTGAGATCAAAAAGGTTTACATACTCAGCACAAATAATTGTTGAATTAAAAAAGGTGAAATCCAAATAATATGGAATCTTGTTTTACAAGAATAACATATAAATAATAGTTGTTATATTATATATTAAGTGCATAATTATTCATATCAAATGAGCTATAAAAACGTACATCAATGAAGATTTATATTGCTCATTTGCAATGTTTGAACTTATGTTTAATTTTAATTGGGTTGATAATATAGGTTATGTATAAGCCAAATATCCTTTAATATATAGCATTTCGACAGGTTCTTCACAAAAAATTATTTTCACAACTACATACATATGTATGTATTTCAAATTTATCAAAAAGCAAAATTAATCTACTAATTTTAGTAACTATTTCAAGTAAATTTCAATGCTAGGATATTTACTGTTCTTTTTATTAAATGCAATTTTGGCCCATTATGCAACAATGAAAAATAAAAATGTCAGTACGTACCTACCAACCTAATTAATTCTTTGAAGGAATTTCTGACCAGGCAGCCCATACCTTATCACATTACTGGATATGTAGGTATTCTTGAAATTTGTCTTCTTGGATTATTTAAAAGAAAAACAAATACAAAGATTTCTACAATTATAAACTTTGATATTAGTTACTTTACGATATCTTTATACATTTTTATTTTCTGATAAAAGTGTAAAATTTGTAACTTAATACCATCAATTTAGTAATATTTGAAAGTAATAACTTAAATTAAGCAACAATCTTTAGGCACTTTATGTGGTAATTTAAGATTATTTGCAATAAGTTTATTTCACCTTATTAGATCTAAATTTAGATTGGTTAAAAATGATATTTGTAGGTATCACATATACATATGTACACTCCTCAATTTTCGTCCCAGATGTGTTCCAAAATTTAGGATCGTAAAACTTAAAGATATAAAATAAAATCGAAAAATTTGAAAAAAAAATCAATAACATATAGAACACGATGTATATCATGTATTATATTCACATTAAAATTGTAAGCTGCATTTTATTTTTTCAAAAAAGTACATTATTCCTTTCCGTATCGCAGATAAAAAAAAAAATTTACTAATAATTCTTCGGATTGTCATAATTTATCGAAATAAGAAAAAAAAATTAAAAATTATTGGACGTAAATCAGAAAAAGGCATTAAAGAAAACATTGTAGAGGTAACCAAAAAAAAATCTTTAAAAAAACGTTGTATACCGAGACCCGACTGTACTTCTTTTCAATTCTTACTTTCTTAAATTCGTTACAATTGTTTTTGTAGCACTTTATATGCAGGAGAAATCTGGTGTGTGCCTTTTTTTCAATAGGCTTTAGCTCGAAGATAAGTATATAATATATGTAATACATATGTATTTACAATGTAGTCCCCCACCTGTTTATATGAAATTTAATTTTAAAATAAATTTTTAAATCAAAATACATACATATGTATGTATGTAGGCAAATGTGTGTATTTGAAAATATATGACTTAAATAAATGAATAAAGCGATTAATACGATTATGTTACGAGCTTTTATAAATATAATGCGGAAGGTCGAAGATTTTAAGCTGATAGAATCCAGCCTAATTACATCCTCCATTCTATATTCTAGATTTAGATGAAAGTTAGGCTTATACCTAGACAGGCATTGAATATTAAATAGGTACCTTTACTACTGTAAGGCTCATAATTCCGGAATTCGTTATAAAAAAAAAAAATTTAAAGATTTTGTATACTTATTTGCAATCGAATTCCTCATTGTATGTAGGTACATTTGTACATATGTTTGTACGCACCAACGTAAGCAGACACATTTTTCTTATTTTATTTTTTATTTCATTTCAGAAAAATTTGATGTCTAAAATTTTAAATGAAAGTATTGTAGAAATTAGTTTTGTTATTTCAAAAATTCTTGAAAAAAGATTATTGCGCAACCATGGTTAACCTTTTGATACAAAGACGCAAATCTAATTCAAATACCTCGATTATTTACATATATATTTTTGTCCAAATTATGCACCTTACATGTTCTTTGCCTTCAAAAACAAATGATACAAAATTTGGTGTTTGGATGGAACGTTCTCCGGAGTCAACTGTAGCACCAAATGGTGACGAAGTGTTATTTGAATGTGAAATTAATATAATTCCGGATAATATAGAATGGAGATTCCGTCACGTTTCTGTTTCGAATGATTTTCATGGATATCAAATAATGGTAGGTAAATATTATTGTTAATCATTTTTAAAATTAGTCAATTTACAGAGTGGAAATAATATTACAAATGATGATAATATGTCGAAACTACGCATATATGTTTCACCTGAAACCATTGGTGAATACCAATGCGTTGCTTGGTTTGGTACATCAGCTCTAGCGTCCGTAGCAGCTCAGTTATCTTTGGCTACTATAAATGAAATATACAAAAATGATGTCTTAAGGAATTATCAAAATCCTGATGAAGCTTCAAAGTGGAAAGTTGCACCGAAAAATAGCCTTCTTATTAAGTGTGGATCAATTGTATCAAATCCAGCACCAGTATGGAGTTTTTATAAAAACAACATACCTGTGATACCAATTGATTCTAATTGGCCACCGGGGTCTTTGGTCCTAAATAATGTAACTTCAAAAGATACCGGTATTTATTCCTGCTCTGCAATGAATTCAATTACCGGCCAAGAAATAAAATTGAAACACACCATTGACCTCACAGTTGATTACACACAAAGAATGCCCCCATATTTCTTAACACAACCCGCGACTAAAGTTTTGGCTCATCCAGGTCAAACAATAGTGTTGGAATGTCCTGGTGTAGGAAATCCAAACCCCAAAGCAGTGTGGAGCAGTCCAAAAATTTTTAGCAGTTATACACCCAATAATAGAACAACAATATTTCCTTATGGCCTGCAGATAATTGATGTAAAGCCTGAGGACAATGGAACTTATACATGTCGACTCGATAACGGACTTTTACCTGTTCTAGTTCATGTGGTTAAATTGCAAGTTTTACAAAAACCAACCATAGTTAGAGGCCCAGGCCTTTCTTTAGCAAACGAGTCTTTTCCGTGGGAATTAGAATGCCAGGCAAAAGGAACTCCTCCGCCAGTTTTGTATTGGATGATCAACGGAGTGGACACCAGGACTGATAGTACGATTACTCATCATGAAGGTAGTATTATCATATCAAATATGAAAAAGGCCTACGCTGGAATAGTTCAATGTTTTGCCAAAAATGATGCAGGAGAGGTAGGCATTTTCCTTTTCTTTTTTTGGTTTAATAATTTTTTTTTTTTGTAATAATGTATCAGTTTTTTTTTTAATTAATAATGATGTTGATTTGTGTTTTTTTTGTTTATATTTTGTGATTATACTCGTATATTGTGATTTTTTTTATAATATTATGGTCGTGATCATATCAGAAAGAAAGTTTTTGAAAAAAATTCCTTACAAGAATTAGAAAAAAATTACCGAGAGCACTTGGAAAAATGTATACGACAAAAGCTATATTACCATATTGTGACTGCAAAGAAGAGTATGGTGCATCAATACTGTTCTTGTGCAATACTAATAAACTTGAAAGACCATAAATTTGTAAAAGAGGTAATTGACAAAAAGGCAATTGTCAAATGCGATAGAATGATTACCTCTATATAATGTTGATATTTTGAAATGAATGAATGTAAAAAACAGAATCAAATAATTCACTGGAAATTAAGTATTAGAGGTGATTTCAGATTACGGATTTGCGTTGCTTTGCAAAACCAGTATTCCAAACTCATTAATATACAAAGGCGTCAACATTTGTAACTTATAGACGAGTTGAATAAAAATAAGATAAGACAATAAATGATATTCAGGAAGCTGTTAAATAAATATTTTAATCTGCAATTCTTTGCATAACGGCTAACGGCACAAACGCGTTAAAGCTTTTTATATTTTCAAAATCATTGACAGAACTATAAGTTTCTTATAGTACTTTTTGTGGTAAAGTCATTATATAACTTTACTTTTTGTGGTAAAATCAGAAAAATTAGTACCATTATTTCTAATACTAAAAAACTAATTCAATAATGTAAAGTGAGGGCGAGAAAATAATAAAATTTTTGCAAACATAAAATGAATTAGAATTGATAATATTGCTTTTTGTTTTTCGCAGACCGTTAACAGCAATTTGCTTCAAGTTAATCCTACACAAGTAAATTCATCAATTCTTGGACAATTTCCAACTCAGTCGATCTTAGAGCATAGGCCTACCAAGAAGAAAAAACATAAAAGTCGTAAGTTTCTTTAATAATATTTTATACTTTTATTTATTTTTTAAATAAAATTAAAACCTTTCTTAATTATTTTACAAAAATTGAAAAATGTATTTAAAGTTTTGCTTATTGAATCTATTATTTTTTTGAAGCAGTTTTTAAACGTTTTTCTTCCTCCGTTAAAATTTTTATTTTTATTTCCATTTCTTTAATTCTAAATGCATGTAATTCTTTTATATTTTTTAATTCATCTTTTGATCTTTGTAATTCAATTTTCATTCTTTCTATCTTTAATTGGCCTTCTTTATATTTTAATTCCGCTTCTTTGAGCTGATAATAATTGATTTTATCTTCGATATTTTCGTAAGGTCTAAAACACATATTATTTTGATTGCTCGTGGAAGAGTAAAAATTTGGTGAATGTGTTGACGTTTGAGGTGATTGAATTATTTTTTGAGGTACAGGTTGTGTTGCAACGTGTTGCGTTTGATTTTGCGATTGACTTTGTTGAAACTGATGATCTTGTATAATAGTTGCTTGATTTACCGGGTGGGCTATACGATATGACGTTGTAAAAGATTGCGTGTTATTTGAATCTTTTGGGTGATTTGTGATTGCAGATCCGCTTGATAAAGGATCTGTTGTCCTAATCTGAAGAACAATTTCGTCTCTTGGACGACTGTTTTTAAATTCCAATAAATCATTTAGCGTTAATTTTTCAGCACTAATGTGATCTATACTATATTGCTGTGATTCATTTTCAACCATATTAACATCATTAGAAGACGTGGAAATTTCTACTTCTTGAGTTAAATCTTCTTCTTCCTCTTCAGCAGCAACCATTTCGATCTCTTCAGTTTCACATTCTTTCTCAAATTTAATATTTTCATATTGATGAGGACCTGTACTTTTGGTTGTTTGCGGGGTAATCCTAATCAATTTCGGCGCATTTATCGAAGTTGAAGAAGAGTTTATAGAGCCTGAAGGAGCATGTGCAATTATTGTTTTTATGTTGTTTGCATTAATACCATTTTCAACAATATTTAAACGCTTAGAATTTTCGTTGCTCCCATTTGAATTTGCTGTTCCATTATTTCCAGGGTAACTTTTACGTAATCTAAAAAAATTTTTACAATATTTTTTTAAAAATTTGCTAATGAAAGTGTCTTTTGGAAAAGTTTTTACGTTTTTTTTTACCTTGCATTTAGCCAAAATTTTTGAATTTGTTTTAAAGAACGTACGGTAGTAGTACTAGGATGGTTGTTAAATTCATCTGCAATCTTATTCCAACAATCTCTTATTGATATATGCTTTTTGGGACAAGATTTTCTTTGCTTGATATCAATAATATCTTCATTTTCCAAAAAAAGTTGGAAAAGTATGTGTTTTTCTTCCTTAGTAAATCGATTTGTTGATGAATTGGGGGCATTGTGTCCTTCCATAATATTCAAGCCAATTAATGTTGTGTTTTGATTAGTTTCAAGATTTGTTGTCATTTTTTTTTTTTGTTTACGGGAATTGATTTCACTCTTTCAATAAAAAAATATTCCAAAAAAGCTGTCAAAATGTCAAAAAATAATAACTACTTGAGTTTACGAGTTCTTTACACATTTTAACTCTTCTCAATTTTAATTTTCAGAAAAATGTATTAATTACTGAGTGAAGTGTATGAGTGAAATACAAAATGGCTGTCAAAAGCAAGTTTCAAAAATTAAAAACAAGTTCCAGGGATGTGTAATGAATGGAATTTGTATCAAAATTATTAAAAATCGGGAGACATTATGCACACATTCAGAATCTATAAGACAGCGTGTAAAATCAATATATTTAAAATTTTTTTCGCTCTATTAAATTTGAAACTCTATTAAAGAACCGGAGTTAATAACGGAAATTATCTGCCGTTGCTATAGACACCGCTTTGGTTTTGTTTTTACATTTAACGCGGTTGGTTAGATATAAATAAGACTTAAATAGAGGAAAAATTTTTTTTTTTTTTGAAAAAGTGAAAGTAAATTTTTATGCTAATGTCTGATTAATTAGAAACATTAAAAGAAAGTATCTTGAAAAATAATTAAAGTCCGTTTTTTTTAGTTGTATTTATCTTTGGATTGAGCAGGGACATACTTATTTAATTTTAATCTGGCTATCCCTATCTGCAATAAATCTATAATATGATGTATAGATAGAAGGAACTCGGACTAAAAAAAGATTACAAATTTGTTTAATATAAAAATATATAGATATGTTTTACATATTTTTTCTAGCATTATGACATGTGCTAAAAAAAAAAACAAAATTATTTTCTTTTTATGAAATATTTTACAAAAAAAAAGAATGAAAGTTGATTTACTTGAAGTTTGTTGTTCAAATAAATTTTTTATAAAATTTCATATTAATGATAATTTTAGATTTTGTTTTTACATATTTTTTATTGTAAAATCAAAGCAAGAACAATTAGTAAATTTAATAATATCTCCGGTTTGTATTAAAGCTTCAAATATGTTCAAAGTTAATCTATACCTTTTAATTTTAATCAGCAATGTTTAAATTTGACGTAGCATTTCGTACCGTTACACTAGATCTGTCTGCGATAAAACTTGAAAAAACTTTAAAAAGAGAAAAAATGACGAAATTTCTCACAAAAAGAAAAAAAAAAAATTTCATTTAAAAAAAATAAACAAGACAGAAAACTTGAAAAAACTTTTAAAAGCTTTATAAATTTGTGATAAACGTCAAATTTCAAAGTATTTATCAAACATAAACAAATATTTTTTGGTCATATCAAAAATCGAAAATTTTGATTTTGGATTATAAAAGTGTGAAACTTAGAAAAAACCATTTATGAACTCATTTTGTTTAAAATAAAATGAAATTATTTTTAATTGAAAAATCATTTTTTGCTGATTAAAAATTTTGTTTGAAAACATGTGTTTCGACAGCTGTAAGATTTTAAGAGTTTTTAAAACACTAAATTTTACTTTAAAAAACTAGAAAAAACTTTAAACATTGAGAAAATGAGAATATCATCATTTTCTCTCGTTTTTGTTCAAAAAGTATTATCCCAGACGCATTGCGTGCAAAAACTTTATAAAGTTTTTAAAAGTTTTTAAAAACTTTCTTATACCAGACCAACGAATAAGAAATACTAAAGAAAGGGACATTTTTGTTTCTATCTCGCTTATACTCACTAAAAAATCGTATCTTGAAAAAAAAACATATTGAAGCTAAAAACTTCAGATAAGTTTCTTTCTTCGCTTCGGCCATTGTCAAACTGAAATCAACATTAATGCCAAATGTTGCTGTTTTTTTTACATAGCAAATTACACGCTGTTACATAAAAAGTAAACAAAGAAAATTGTTTTCATTTTGTTTATAAAATTAGTGCAGTTTGTAAATAAAAATTTATAAATAATTATTAAATATTTAAAAAATAATATTATTTTATAAAAACTAATAAAAAATTTAACAAGTGAAAAACAAAAAAAAATCTGTTGAAAAAGAAATATGTGTATAGTTCTAAATTGTTATTTTCATTTGTAAAAACAAAAAGTTTTATTACAACATATACACGTGAATTATAATTCATTTCAATAATTAATAGAAATATTTATTCAACAGTACTTTGATTAATTCGTAATTTGTAATTTTATTAAGTTTTTAATTTTTCAAAAAAAACTTTTGTTTTTGCTTTGTTTTAAATAAAAATGACTTCGAATGACATAATTTTACCAGGACCGGATTTTTTTTAAGCAAAATTAGTTTGTGTTTGATAAAATATAGCATACATATATACAATATTTTAATTTGGTCTTTTTTTATATAATTACTGTTTTCCCCGAAGTTATGAAATAAAAAGAAAGTGTATTGGAATTATTAAAAAGTTTGCAGCTCAATAATTTTTTATTTCATAAAATAAATTTATTCAAAGAAAAAAAAAATAATGAGTTTTGTTTAAATTTACTTTTTTTTTACAGATATAAATGAAAAAATATTTTGAAATATTTTTTAGTTTTTACTTTAAAAAGAACAATTTAATTTATCCTTCTTACAAATTACATATATTTTATAGTAGAGGTCAGATAAGAAAAATAAATACGCTCCTGTTACGATTTTGACAATGCTCAGAGCAAAGAAAGAGACAACTAGAAAAAATTAGGCTTCGATGTTTTTTCAAGATGCTCCTTCCTTTAGTATTTCTAATTCGTTATACCAGACCGACCTATTATGTCTGTAATATTTTTTTACGACTTAGATTTAAGATTAAAGTAAAATTATCAATTTTGAAAAACTTACAATGTTTCAGGTGAAGGTAAAGTTGCTGCAAAATTATGTATTGTAACAAAAAATATGTATTGAAATTTTTAAATTCAAATATATGGAAACCGCTTCAGCAAATTTTTCTTCAATTGTAAATTTTAATAAATTCAAAGCTTTTTTAATTTTGATTCTTTATAGCAACTATGATTCCACCAAATAAACCAAGTGTTTCCCGTTTAAGTGATGACTCCGTAATGCTACGTTGGTCTGTTCCAAAAAACGATGGTTTAGAAATTACGTTCTTCAAAGTGCAATACAAAATGCTTGATAGATCCAAGACAACATCACGCGGTAATTGGGAAACAACAAATGAAGAAATTTCTTTTGGAAAACGCGATAACAAAGTTAAAAACTTTACAATTCCCGTTTCTGGACTACAACCTGATCGTTACTATAGATTTCGAATTCTCGCTGTTTATTCTAACAATGACAATAAAGAAGGGCCAAGCACTGGCAAATTTCTTCTGCAAAGTGGTGAAACTCTTGGAAAAGATAAGGGTTATTTACCAGCCCCTGTTCTGTCAACTGTTGAAGGAATATCCGAAAACATAATATTATTAAATTGGGATTACCCAGATAATATTTACATTGAGGGATTTTATGTTCATTATAGATCAGTCTTATCAGCTGGAGAATATACCAAGCAGACGGTGGAAGGTATGAGAACTAGAAAATTCAATGTAGACAACTTGGAAGCAAATACCGCTTATGAGTTTAAACTACAAAGTTTTACTCTATCGGCAGCTTCAGATTTTAGTTCAATACTTACAGGAAGAACAACAAGTATGTATTCCATTTTGATGACTTTATTTACTCTCTAATATTTTTGACTATTCTCTAGGAATAACTACCTCTCCACCTTACATTAAGAATATTAATATTGTACCAGAACATCAAACCATTGAGAAACAAAGTTACTTTATAATTATTGCTGGGACAGCTGGCGGCAGCGCACTAATTTTATTAGCTGTAGTACTTTTATTTGTTTTATATAGATGGAAAAAAAGTGATCTTCAAAATGGTGAAGTGAAAAAAAAACAACTTTATGAAGCCTTATAACATTTTAAATTAATTTTAGAAGAAGACAAGCCACGTATAGATCACATTCAAGCTGATGGTCATTTAGTGCCCTCTATGCATAAAAATAATCATAGGTTAAACGGAGTAATGAACATAACCCCAAATCCTTTAGCTCACGACGGAGATAAAGTAAGTCACTATTTACTAACATATATTTTGGTTTTACGTCTTTTAGTCAAAAAAACGTTGAAATTTTGCTATTAAGTTATTATTGGTATCAATTATAAACAAATATATTACAAATTTGATTTATTTTGCTAAAAAGGAACATTAATCAGTTAAGTATTTTGGTGAGGTTTGTCGTGATTTTAGGGCGGATGCTAATTTAATATTATTATTCTAAAGATTTTATTCTAAGTGTCTTGCTTTTGAGAGCGGTTGTAGTAGGGTTTCGTTCGCTCGCTTTGACAGAGCTGCCACGGCTATTTCAGCTGATTTCAGGGAATTGTGTTGTCTTGTGAGGTCGGCTCCAGAGTGTGCTTTTCGTTCGGCGGATGAGGGTGCTGCTTTGATTATCAGGTCATGTTCATAATTGAGGCTTTATCTTTTCCATCTTTAGAGAAATTTTAATCCGTTTGTAGGAAGATTGGTATTTTTAAATTACATATTTGTTCTTGTTTTCTATTGTACCCGTGATTAATAATTTAAACTAGTACTAAATAGTTGAAAAATAATAAAGTTTGCTGCGTGAAGTTTGGCAGTCATGTACTTTACCTGTTTTTGAAATAAAAAAAAATTTCAAAAATAGCTTTTTATAGGCAAGGTGAAGAGTATAATTCAAAAAATGGTTATAGTTCAAAAAATCTTGTTCATTAAAATTTAAATTAATAAGCTGCGACATATTATGTACATGTATAAATTAAGGAAATATTAGAAATAAAATTTATACAGGTTTTCGAAGCATATTTTCTTGCGAAAGCTTCTGACAAAAAATATATTTTACATAAATACTTATACTTAAATACATATTAACTCTAATAATATTAAAATATAATAATAAAAACTTACAACGTTTATTTACAGATACAACATCAAAGAGGCTCCTCACCTTATCATCATTTTAATAAGGCGAGTTCAAATTCAACCAACTCCCCCACAATTTTGCATAAGCAGCTTACAAACAATCACGCAAAAAAAACTAGTTCTCAATATAAAAGTTCTTTGAACAATATTGCTATTCAAGTACCTATTACACCAGACTTTAATCGTAGAATATTAGATAAAAGCAATCGTAGCTTACATTACTCTCCATCTCCCCCAGTGTATAATAACGCTCTGCCCATAGAAAATTTAACTAATAGAGTTCCTTCATTACGAATTAATCTTACACGGCACACTTCTTGCAATGAAAATGTTGGAGCTCCTGGTAGTCCTCAGATACGAAAATCTCCAAAAGGAATTCGCCAAACACATATTGTTCGCAATCATACGAGTAATTTAAGTAAAAATATGTCTTCCGGAAGTCTCAATAGCATAGAAGTTTAAATTATTAAATCTAATATATTATATTTATTATAGACAATGTTTTAATAGTTTTAAGATTAAATTTGCCATGGTACGAAACATAAGAAAAGTATTTTCTTATGGCATTTTATTGCTATAAATTAGCATTTAGAAAATTAATAGAGATACGAGTATAACGTAAAAAGAAGAACAAGTAAATTTGCACAGTTTTAATCTTTGTTGTTGTTGGCTTCTACTTTTACCCGTATATTTTACTGCAAAAAATTAAATCCAAAAAACTAATTTAACACAATGTTATTTTAAACAATTTTTCGTTTATAAACTTGCATCTTGTGTATTTCTGAAAATGCTGCTCTTAAGGTAAGAACTATAAAGCTACAATTAATTTGCACATAAAGTGCTAAAAGTTTGCATTTTATTTTTTCTTATGTAAATTTTTTTCAAAAACACCATTAAAATATTTTGAAATCTGAACTCTCATTTGAAATATTTGTGAATAAATAGGAGCCACCGCAATTTAAACTTAAAAAATATAGCAAAAACTATTGTTTTTCTTTATATGTAGGGAAAATATCTCAAATATAATTAAGTTATATTAATATAAATTGATATGCAAATTTTCATAGTGTATTTCAATTGGAAAATTGTATTATGCACAAAATTTTACTAATTGTATTTTTTTTTTTAGTTTTGAATATTGCAATGATTGATTGTTAGTTAGAACCTTTATTATTAATAAATTAAAAATAATTATTTCCAAAAGACAATACAAATCGACTGATTAAGTTAACGGTAATCTATTGAATATTAAATAAAGGACATGACTTATGCATGTACATATGTATTCATTTACAAATTTTTAAAATAAAATATTTTATTACAAAACAAAGCTAATAAGATTGTTCTATTATTATTATTTTTAAATATAACATCTTATTTAATGTAGTTGAATATATAAAATAATAGTTGAAGCCGTACACACATGCAGTAACGACATTATAAATCAATAAGAATTGAAAACTTTGTATGCAGTAAAGATATTTGACATACCCTAAATTTTTTTAGTTTAACCTATATGCATCTTGAAATCGACTTCAAACGGATTTCGAATTAGCGTTTATGTGAGCGCTACTTAACTTGAAATTTTAATTCAACTACTCGATTCGCCATATAAACAAAGTAAAAGTTGCAGTTTTAACAAACGCGACATAGTGAAAGTGGAACATATTTGGTTATCAAGTAAGTTGTCAATTTATAAATAGTATAACCAAGTCTTTAAATAAAACAAATGTATTAATTAGACTTTAATATGTGTATTTGCAAATCAATAAAAACTAGTTGTTAAGACGGCTTTTTTACTCTCTCCGAAAAAAATTGTTTTTAACTTTTTCTGGTTTTTCAGGTATAAGAAAGTTTTCAAAAATTTTATGAAGTTTGCAAAGCATCTGGAAAGACAAAAAAGAGTGAAAATGATGACGTTTTCGTTTTCTCAATGTTTAAAGTTTTTTCAAGTCTAAAGTAAAATTTAGTGTTTTAAAAACTTCTCAAATCTTACAGCTGTCGAAACATATGTTTTTCTTGGTTATGTCAGAAGACTATTTTTGAAAAACAATTTTTAAAACTTTTTAATTAAAAATAAAATAAACAAAATGGATTCAAAACGGGTTTTTTCTAAGTCTCACATTTTTATAATTCAAAATCAAAATTTTCGCTTTTTTGCATAACTTGAAAATATTTGATTATGTTTTATAAATACTTTGAGATTTGACGTTTATCACATATTTATAAAATTTTTTCAAGTTTTCCGTCCGCTTTATTTTTTTTAAATGAAAACTCTTTTTAAAATTTTTTCATGGTTTATTCCAGACATTTTTTAAATGAAAACTCTTTAAAATTTTTTCATGCTTTATCCCAGACAGACCTTTTAATTCACTTGAGTAGCAAAGTCAAAATTGGAAGTAGCAAGACAATGAGTAATATTGTGAAAGCACCAATCAGCAATAAATTGTAAACAATTAATTTTAAAAGTATCTTAGTATCAGTTAACTTAAATTTAAAATCAAAGTGAACGATTATTAATTAAAGGATTTAAATGAATCATAATATTGTGGAAACGTTTTTTTTTTTCTTATTCCAAATGATTTGCTGAAATCAATTTATTACGTCGTAGTTGTAGTTCTAATTCAGCCTTATTCATTCACTAATTTGTATTCTGTGCAAAATCTCCCTATAGGGAATCTCCCTACAATATATTTTACATTTTGGTATAAATCACATCTTATCGTGTTATTTGTATACTTGATTTTTCCTCGATAAAATTTGTTTGAGGAAAAGTTTCTTTTAAGAAAAAAATATCAACAGTCAAAAATTTTGAAGGTGCATCACCAGATGGTACATTTAAATACAAAGTAATAAAAAAATAATACAAATTTTTTTAGTCTTGACTATAATAAATAGTACAATTTAGTCAAGTCAAAATTTTTAAAGAGTCAAAAACTAGTGCAATACAATTTTTATGTTTGGCAGTACTGAAAGAACTAAAGATGATTGCTCCAAATTGTAATTTGTCAATATAAACGTTGCCGCGTACGAAAATGAAAATTACAGAATTGTCGGTGCGGAAAACCAAAGTTGTAACGTGATCAAACTAGTACATGATGAACTTATGAACGTAGTTGTAAATGGATCGGTCTTTTTCAGTATATGAATAAAACATAACTTTTATTTTAATGGCATAATAATTTTTTTTATATAGTTAAAATGTAAATTTAATAAAAAATAAAATTTGCAATGTTATAACTGATGCTAAAATAACTCGGTTTGTTGTAAATCAGAAGTACTGTTTCCATATACCGGAAAAACTAATGTAACTCTTCACATTTGTAGTATAGTTGCGCTCACACTTTGTTACTCATAAGCAGTTTGAACACGTTAACGGAACGCAATTATAATATATATAGAAATATTATATATTAAAATATAATGTTTACAAGAAACGGGAAAACAATTAAAATAATATCTTAGATCCAACACCACACATTTGGTATATGAATTGCGATTTGGGTGTGGCTGCCGTGTAGCAATTTTGGTTTTTAAAATTTCTTTTGTCAACTATATGCCGCATACTACTCAATGCGTCTATCGAAGTTACCACTTTGGAGAATGTTTATTCTCCAATAAATTAAAAGTTTTATTGAATTGAATTTTCCAGTAATCCAGTATTCAAATAACTGTCATTGAATGTGGTGTTTTTCTAAAACTAAAGTATTCACTTTAACGTTTTATCATTGTTCCATTTTTTTCCTAATTTGATTAGTTATAATTAAAAATTTAGTAACAATAGCGTAATATATTTTATTTAAATTTACAAATGTAGATTACTTTTTAAAAAGAAGAAACGCTGGAATCCAACAAAATAAAATTTGATATTGAAGTGCACTTAAAGCTGTAATTGGAAAATGAATAATAAAAAATAAATACCCATCACATATGTATGTATATATGTGTTTGGGTTTCGGAATAACAACTTATATTTTAATCCTTCAGAACAAAAAATCATTAAGAATATAAATAAAATTTATAAATGAATAAGTGTAACTTATAAAATTTATATGTAAGTGGTACTGTTCTCTCTATAGTGTAAGTAAAAAACTTTCAATAAACATTCAATAAAGTATTTAAAACTATAAAATTAGCTGTGTAATATACAATGTATGTGTGTATATATGCATACATTAGTTTATTTGTTACCCCGGAGTATAATTCACAGCACAATGCACAATATGATTCATTTCAAATAAACTACCGTGTTCTATGTCAACGTGTGTTAACCACGCATGCCAATATATTTCAAAATCTATATTTTATATTTTGTAAAAAAAAAAAACATGCTAATTGAACATGAAAATTGAACGAAGAATATGCGATTTTTTTTACGACAAAAAAAATAACAAATAATAGTAGCTACATTGATGCGATATGTAGTACTTGTACATACATAAGTGTAAATTGAGATAATTTTATATTAATCAAATTTTTTTTATGGTTTGTTTTCAAAACTGTATTTATTTAATTTTATTTGGTAGTAGATGATATGTACACATATTTAAATAATTGCAAGTTGTACTAGTAGTAGAAGTAAGGATTACGAATTCAAATTTTATTGTGTAGACCATCGCAGAATCTGGTTAAATCAGAATAAAATTTTGGATCAATTTCAAAAGTTTACTATACATACGTATGTAGGTACATACATAAATACTTATTAAAAAACATTTTCGAAATTTTTACTTTGTTCAATGTTCAAGCATATGTATATCATTGTTTGAATACATATCTAATTTTGATTAACTAGTTTTCTTTGTCACTATATTATCAATTATTTTTGGTTAATGATGTTTCATACCATTATCCTAAAAATTAAATTTTTTTAAGCCGGTCTTAAGATGTAGGTTTTCCACTTATCAATATCCAATATTATTTTAAATTCCAAAAACAAAAGTATTTTAGTACCTATCCGACAAAAGCATATAAAGAGATTTTTCAATGAACATTAATATAATCAAGAGGATTTTGCTTTATAAATTTTTTACAATAAATAAATACTTTTATTTAAAACATACATTCATACTTGTAGGTTATAATTATTTGATTTTCTTATTGAATTAGTAATAAAATCTTGTATTTGTACTCTACAAAAGTAAGACAAAATTTACAATTTTATGATACTTAACTTAGCAGTACACTTATGTCATGCATCATTTCCAAGATATGTTTCTAAAAGAATCAAGACGTCTATAAATTTTTTTTCATTAGTATTAAAATTATATTTGAAATAATTTTATACTGCTTGTCATACATGAACGAATTGTGTTTCGTTCAAAAATATTTAATTGCTGCTTTAAAATCCTTGCAACTTATTATGGCATCCGTCCTGTTGGAAGCTAAACCATATAGACCATTCAAGTCAAGTGAAGAATATCTAGAGGCAATGAAGGAAGATTTGGCTGAATGGCTTAATACTATGTATCCTGAGTTAAATATAAATGCAGATAATTTTATGAATCGACTAGATACTGGTGTGGTACTATGCAGGGTAAGTTATAATCGTACAAGTTAATAGTTTACATACATATGTATATTAATTTTTTTTTTTAATCGTTATTTATCCTGACCAACTCATGTTATAAATTGAGTATGAACTCATTAATCTTTGATTTTTTGAATCTTTTTATACAAAGTTTTGATCAGCCAAATCTAGGGGCTTCGTCCTTTCCAAGCGTCGTAAGCCACTGCTTTTGCTGTTAATTAATCTCTGGGTTTCCATTGTGTGAGGAGATCCTATTTTTATGCTTGATTACCGTTTTGGTAATTTCGGTTTCGACTAATTCTATGTTTAAATCTTTATGTATATCGTAAACAATTGAGAGACATTGAATTGCAACCTCCGATTGAAGCATATGGCTATTCTTCAAAAATGCAATACTTAATGTTAGAACTTCTAAGCTTTAAAAGATACATATACATAGGTTAAATATAGAAGTTTTGAGGCTTGTTTAATTCTAACCTTAAGAGATTCAATTTCAAGAAACCGTATGATTTTTCTTATAGAAAGATTTTTTAAAGCAAGTTTCCAGATATGAAAATATGTTGAGATTTTACTGTATATGTATTTAGTATAGTTATTTTATTTTGAAAAAAACAATAATTTCATTTCTTTTTTTAATATTATTTATAAAACTTCATAAATTTCCTAAAAATAATATTTTTAGATGCATAAACGCAGATTTTTTATAAATTGCACGTGTATTGAGTTAGAAACCCGAACCTTGGTTCAGGACACTATCCTTCATTAAATTGGAACTATTTTCGATTTTCTTAATTATATATGTATTTATATACATTTGTATGCATAAGTAGTACATATATAAATATAATTTTTTTTTTATTAAAGAAGTTCTTTGATATTTAAAAATTTTAAATGTTTAAAATTAAATTTTAAACATTTTTAAGTGAAATCTTAAATATTACAAATTCAAAAACAATATAAAATACATATTTATATTACATACATAAATCTATTTTTTATTTTATTTTGAATTTTGTATTGAATTTTATGATAAGTCTTTAATAGCTATTATTAAAACTTAAGTATAATTAACCAAAGAAAAGGTTATATAATTTAAATAACAACCAAAGTAAAAATTGTACATATAACTTTTAAAAAAACTTTTCCTTTAGTTCTTAAAGTAAAACTTATTAAGAATTAAATTAAAAAAATGTATAACTACAACATAAACTCACCTATAAGAATTTGAAACTGCTTTTAAAAGGCTATCAAATGTAGTCTAGCTATTTAAAACTTGAAACAAGGTAAGCGCGTAGGTGAGCTTATTATTGTTTAGTGTCCATGATAAATTTTACGAAAAATATAAAATGCTTTTGTTTGCGTTACTCGTATGTTTGTGTTATTGTACATAATATGCATACATATAAGTATGCATATTATATTTATGAGCAGTAGCAGAAAAAAAAATTAATAAGTATTTTTTCTAAAATATGCGAAAATGAAGGCAAACTGCTATGAATGAAAGATATAATCTATTTTGTAATATAAAAATATTGTATGACCTGATATAACGAACATAACGTCATCTTTGCGCAAGTATGAAAATAAATATTTAACTTCGGTTTTATTATGTGCGCAATGCTATGATCAGCATAAAATCAGGTTAAACGAAATGTTTTTTGCGAGACTATTTTTGTTGAGAGATTTGCAATTATTAGTAATTTTTTATTTTAAATACAGGCATTTAATTTGTCGAATTTTCTTCGGTCTAGAATCAAATTTTAAAAAACGGGCAAAGCAAAGTGTATAGCTGCATATAAAATTTCATAAATTTCATAAAGTTTTTAAACACTATTTCTTTCCTCTTTTAAAATTCAGATGTGGTAAATGGGTTTATAACTGAAAATTAAACACAACACATTTATTTATATACTTTTTTATTTATTTAGTTATTTATTGTTTCGAAAAAGTTATTTCAATTTACTTACATGAAAGACCTAAATTTAAATTACTTTTTTCATGTGTAATGTAATGAAATCACTATATAACTAGCACCTTAAATCCAATTGGTTCATTATCGGAGAAGTTACGCTACATAATATTTGCAAAAACATTAGTAAACCACGGGTGAACCTAAAAACTTCTGAACATTTTTGTTTTTTACTGCATATATTATATTTTGTGACATTTTTGACGAACATATTTTGAATACTTTACTTTTTATTTCATTCTTATCTTCATGCTTTTTTTAAGCATTCCCGGGAACCGTTCCATTTTCTTCCAAAATAATTCACGTTTCGGCATTTACTAATCTTGTTTTAGTCTACTAATCGGTTTTTGTGTTTTCCACATTTTTTTTATTGACCTAATTTTATTTTTCAATTAGTTTTAAATGTAAAGATGTGTTATAATGTTATACATAAGTTGTGATATAATAATAATAATAATAATAATAATAATAATAATAATAATAATAATAATGATAATAATAATTATGTATATGTTAATTATAATAGAAAATTTTAAGTTTATGTATGTATGAACATTTAAACCTCGATAAGAATCCTTTTTTTTTAAGAAGTAATACGAAATTGAAGAGTTAATTTTTAAAATTGAATAAAAATCTTACATAAAAATTAGACTCTAGGCAACAGTAGAGTTTCAACTCATGCAAAAATTATTACTTGAAATTTTGAAAAAAAAAGGTCAAATTTAGCAAAAAGAGCCAAATTTCCAATATGTAGAGGGCTTATTCGTAGTATAATTTCAACTATTTATTTTACATAACTAAGCTGTGTTGTTAGTTGTAAGATCCTGAAGCTTCTCCACTTTTTCCCACTTTCTAGTTTCTCCTTCAAATCTAATTTAACCGAAAAAAAATGAAAAAGCGATACTTTTATTTTACACAAAAATAACTGTGTCTTCAAATAAGCAAAAAAAAAAGTTTTTTGAAGTCTGAAGAATTTTAGAGCATATATGTATGTACAAAAAATTTTAAATAAATTATTTACTAAAATCATGTATGTATATACAAGTTAAAACAAAAATATCATCTTAATATGGACCTTAAAACTTTCCATTCACAAATCTTTTAATTCACAACTTTATATTCAAATTTGAACTTTAAATTCATAACTTACAACAACACCTAATATGGAAATGGCCAATATTACCATTGAATTCGCAACGTAAAGGTTTACTACGCAGTATTATAGCTTAGTTTTAGTTCGAATTTATATAGTTTAGTTTTAGTTTTGTTTCATTTTCATAATCAAATTTTATAAAAAAAAATTCAGTTTTTCAAGTTTAGACAGTTTTTTCTCACAAAACCGAATTAAACAAAAGAGATATTAAATATTGTTAGATACTAATAACTTACACGATGGTTTTGACATGCAACGGATGCCAGCCAACTATACACACAGTCGGCATGTACACACAGGCAATTACGTACCTTTACTGTTCCCCAGTAGAAAAACTAAATCTCTATTATTCTGCGTTCGCCGAACTTAATATGCAAATATTAATGTTTGAATAAAATGAAAAATCAAAAATTAGGGAAATCACTAATTTCACTAATTTATATCCGTCTGCTTGTCTTACAATATTTCCAAAAATAGAAGAAAATAGAAAAAATAGATCTTATAGGAGGCATTACTTTCTTTTATAAAATTATAAAATTTATCTCTCCTCCTTGTCCCTCCAAGTAAACTCTTCAGATAAATGAAAATACAAGTTGTTGTCCTCAAGTTGACGTTATTGATCTTTTTCAGGTTATTGATCTTCCTTTTATCCATATTTAAGTAATCTTCCTTTTACCTATAATTACACCGTTATGATTCAACTGGTAATACAATTCAAGTTCATGTTCTTGAACTTCATGTTCACATTAATTATGTAAAATTAAGCGGTATTAAGAGAATTATGTCAATATATCGTTTTCATTACTTTCGTCACGCAGTACGGATCAGCTTGCCCTGTTTTTTCTATACAAGAGTGCGAAAGTTTATACATATGTATGTATCTAGCATTCAGAAATTTTTTGTTTAGTATATACATATGTATATATTTTAATTGCTTTTTGTTTTATTTTCCTTTTTTTTGTTGAAGCATGCTAATAATGTACGGAAAGCTGCAGAAGACTATTTAGTAAAACGTCAGGCTCGGAATAAGGTAATGAGCCGATCTGTCACATCTGGATTGGCAGGACCAATTCTTGCAAATTTAAACGTACATTATTTACCAGCAGCCAAAAGTGGAACTTTTTTTGCAAGAGATAATGTGTCAAATTTTATTACATGGTGCAGGTAATGTAAAACTAAATACATTTTAACCTAATAACAATAATAATTAATGAATAGCCTTTTTGTCTAAGAATAGAGAGTAACAAGAAGCAGCATTAACTACAAAAAAGAGATGCATTTTGAGACGGCAAGTAGCGCCGTGTTTCTCAACTAAGGTCCCACAGCATTTATAGGTTCCAAGAGTTCTGAACCACGCATGAATATTTTTTTTTTTTTACCGAGAGGAAGGGTGAAAAATCTCGAAAGATTCTGCCAGACGAAAAGCTGTAGTGTGGAACTTTAATCCAAAAAACACCCTCCTCAAAATAAATTATAAAACTAGTCGGAAACGACTAACCATTAATTTTACTCTAACCTTTTTGATTATTTACAAGCTCTTGATCTTGCACAATAGCGTACTAAGTACTCATTGCTCCAGATAAAAAACTTTAAACTAACTCGAGATGTCGCGTACGTTTAAGTTTCCTAGCAAAGTTTTGATTGTCAACCAATCGAGCCGCCTCGATGTTGACATGATTGGATAAACGCATTTTATGATTGGCTGCTTGCTTTTTAATTTCGTCTGTGACACTTAGAATCGTATCCCTGTGTATATCGGCATTACGGACATACCAAGTGGAGTTTACAATGTCCCGTAATACCATATTTTGAAATCTTTGGATACATTGGATATGAGTCTGCGCAGCGCAGCCCGATAACTGAATACCGTAAGCCCAGACAGGCTTAAATATTTGATTATATATCAAAACTTTGTTGTATATTGTCAACTTAGAACGCCTTCCCGAAAGCCATTCAAACTTTCTGTATGCCTCCTCGAGTTGAGATCTCTTTTTCTTTAAGTGCTCCTTCCATCTGAGCTTCGCCGTTCTTGCGGACATTTATCCGAACCAAAAATGAATTGTCAATTTTCCTATTAGTGAAATTTAAGTGTACTGATTTCACCTCGTTAAGTTTTATATTCCATTTTCTGTCCATTTTGAGATCTCGTCACTGGCCTTTTGTAATTTTTGTGTAGATTCGTTTTCATTTCGTCATATTGCGATAACTGCTGTATCATCAGCAAATGTAGCTGATGTCACTCCTTCCGATTCAGGAATATTACACGTGTATAGCAAGTATAATGTCGGGCCCAATATACTCCACTGTGGCAACATCGACCTGATATCCCTAAGCGAAGAGTACTTCTCTTCCTGCTTAACTCGAAACACCCTTTTGAACCAGGTAAGGTTCGAGCAGGTCAACATACTGCCTTGGTAGTAATCGCCTAAGTTTTTTTTATTAATCCACAATGTCAAACCTTATCGAAGGCCTGGGCTCCAAAAATATGATAGAACATATTGTTTTTTCTTCCAGTAAATTTTCAGATTGCATATCTTTTTAAAGAAACATAATTTTTAAAAATTTTTTCTAAAAACCTTTTTTTTTAATTTTCATATGTGAGACAAATAGAATAATTGCTAGTTAAATAAATAACTGCATTTTCAAAAATAACTTAGCTAAAGATCTGCAAAAACTTTTTACTACTGTAAAAAAAAAACGATATGTTTTTGCATTTGTCAATTAATTCCAAAAACGTTTTTTTTTTAGTTTTAAATTAAAAAAGCTTACACGTTTTACGAGGAATCTATAATTGTGCATAAAAATAGTTTTAATATTCCTTTTTTCAGTCTCACATCAATTTAAAACGAAACCTGAAAATATTAACAAGTTTTCAAACATCTATTTGTTGCAGATTCGATAATTTGGAAAGATCGTTTCAGGAGACCCAGATCTCTATTCGCTAGAATCTCGCAACGATAAGCATATGTATACTTATATATACAAGGCAAGACCATACAAAAAGCGGAAAAGTTAACTGTAAAATTGAAATTTGTTTTTATTCTTCAATTAATTACTTTTTATGCATTTTTAAGCACATGCTCAGTTCAAATTACTAATATCAAAATCTTTTTGTTACTAAAATTATATGTTGGAATTACGAAGAGCGAGTATATTACCTGAACTGTCAAGTGCCCGCGATGATACTCCAGTAAAATACTAACGTATTCAAAAAATTAGACATTCTTCAAATAGTATTATTTATGACGTATCCAGTTTTAAGAACTTTAATCCATTTTGTACTTGAGTTCAACTATCACACAAAACTTCGTTCTCAGAACTATTTCAAAAAAAAAAGTTCAAAGCAGTAAAGATTTCATTATGTTTCGAATTATTAACAAATTGAAAAACTATGAAAAACAATGACAAATAGTGAACCCATTATAAAGAACAGAAATAGAACCCGTGTTACAAAGCGAATTGTTTCAAATTTTAGATGAATTAATTCGATAGTATCATTAAGCATAAAACGAATTCATTATCCCATGATTTTTCACTAACACACTTTAGCAAAATATCTGTAGTTTTTTCAGTTTTAAATAACTTTTTTGTCTCTATTTCATTGAAATGTGAACTTAGCTAAAACAAATTTACATTTTAAGTGATTGAAATCACATTTTAAAAATAACATTCAACTTTTAATTTAGTCCAACTCAGATATTTGGGGCAAGTGATGATATATTATCTACTTTAACATTATTTTATAATTTTATATGAACATAAAAATATATTACATTTAAAATTTATGAGACTTTGCTTTAGATGTAAACCTATAAAAACGATAGCATAAAAATCTACCACAAAGCAAAATATACCTACTCCAAGATGATCGTAAATGTACCCATAAATTGTTTCTTTTATCCTTATAAATTCTTTTTAGGAAATTTTTGACCACTTTTCCAATTTCGATTTCATGATTGGTAATTTCATATACATATATATTTCTTAGAACTACTAGCATTTCTATACAAATATATTATACATATTATAAACATTTTTGTTTTATTTATTCTACATTTACAATTTTTTTTTCTTAAAATGTAGAAAAAGCCTTAAAATACTAGAGTGCCTGTTATTTGAAACTGACGACCTAATAATGAGGAAAAATGAAAAACATGTGATACTTTGCCTTTTAGAAGTAGCTAGAAGAGGAGCTAAATTTGGTATGTAATAAATATATTTTTATGAAATAAATGTATTTCTGTTAAATTATAATTTTGTTTATAATACTTTTATTTTAATGTTTTGAAAATGCTTTTCAAATTCGTATGTACATACATATTATGTATATATATGTATGTAATTATTTTTTGCAAAAATGCAGGTTTGATAACTTTTTTGAATAATATAGCTAGTATCGAAATATGTGCCGGGATTGACTTTCCAAAATTATATACGCGTACGCAGAAAACAATTTTCATTTTAAAGAAAAAAAATTGGAAATACTAATTTAAAGAATAAAAATGTAAAAACTAGACGGTTTTTCGGCCTCAACAGCAAGTCCCAATAACAAAATCTGTTATTTTTATCATGCCTATAAATTCCAATTTCCAGTATGAAATTATAACATGGTTTCCAATATGATTATTTATATAGCAAGTTTAGAGGTTTTTTTTTTTTTGCATACTGTAAGACAAAACAACTATATTTTTTTTTGCATACTGTAAGACGAAACAACTATACCTATCTTTAAATTCATCCGAATTTATAACATTTGTCATGTAATGACATATGTGTAATGTAATATTAATTTTTAAATAAATTATGCCTTCACAGGAATGCTTGCGCCAATGTTAATTCAAATGGAAAGACAAATTGACCGTGAAATTGCCGCAGATAATAAAGCTAATGGCATAACTTCTTCAAATAAAGATGACGTTAATACACCCAACGGGCAAAAATCAATTAGATCAGACGATATAATAGAAAGTGATTCTGAAAACGAATATGAAAGTCCTATGCTTTTCTATGGACCTGAGCCTCAAATTGTAACTAATGATTTAAAAAGTTTACACGAAATGGTGAGTTAAAAAAAAATGATAAAAAAAATTTATTTTGTATATACATATATGGATGTATTTGCTTAACCGAATAAGTACATATAAGTATATACATATGTAAATACATGCATACATACATCAACGATGCAAATTCTACTTAAAATCGTTTATGCTAAAAAGTATGAAGTAATATAATGCCACAAAATAAAATAAAACCTTTAAAATTAGATTAGTTTTTTGAAAGAAATAATTTGCGCTCACGTTTTTTTGGTTTTAATTATAATATATTCGAAATAAAACAAAACAAAAATAAAATATATATGAATATATTCCTCGAAACAAAAACCAAATCGAAACAAAAACCAAAATATATCCCTGATAAAACAATATTACTTTTAAGACAAAAAATATAGTGTTAGTATGATCTTTCTGAAAAATATTTTTCATGTGCGGTCCCCGCCAAAAAAAAAATGATCATTAGTTTTTCACTTCGCGAACCAAAAAAAACTTTCACTTTTTGAAACAAAAAAAAATTGTTCTTAATTTTTCTCAAATCTACTAAATAAATCGAACATTTTTTGCTTACGAATGTTAATTTGAGTTTGCATCAACATAGCATACAAACATACTTGTGTTTGTGTACGTTAAAGTTACACATGAAAATTTGTTGACTAAAAATACATATATGGTGTTCCTTAGGTTAGAGATTTGGTGGAAAAATGCACTTGTCCATCGCAGTTTCCCATGGTTCGAGTATCAGAAGGAAAATATAGGATTGGAGACACCAAAGTTTTAATATTTGTTCGAGTAAGTAAAATAGTTTCTGCATTATTTATGTGTCGCAATCAGAGACTATGATTATTAAAAGTTAAAATCATATTAGCCATTTTTTATTTTTTTACTACATAAAATTTACAACTTAATTCTTGTTTTTTCTATTATTCAATAACGATTGAAGCATAATTTTTATTTTCCAATTACTTACATAATCTGACCATTGGTGCAGTGGTTATGGCACCGGTCCTTTAACCGAAGGGTCTCGGGTTCAAACCCCGGTCAGGTCACTATAAAAATTATATTCAATATTACTATAACTTAATATACAATACTAATAAAAATATTATACAAGTAATTTTCAAATATTCCTAATATTCGATATTAATAAAAAAAAAAAAAAAAAAAAAAAAAAAAAAAAAAAAAAAAATAAATAGTAAATATTAATACCTCAAATAATTAATATATAAATAAAAACTACGGCAGGCTAGTCACCTACCTAGTTAAACCCTATGACGCTATGAAACTAGTCCATGAGAAATCATGCACTAGCCCTATGCTCCTTCTAGGAGTGAACAAAGGAAAAAAAAAAAAAAAAAATTACTTACATACATACATATGTAATAAAGAAGAATTTTACACACGTTGTTAAAAGAATACAGAAAATCCCTCCAAACATAATACCAAGTCTTCCATAATTTTCTTCAAGAATATAATATGCACCTAAATTTATTTAAATAACTAACTAATTTTTAATAATTAGATTTTAAGATCGCACGTCATGGTTCGCGTAGGAGGTGGATGGGATACCTTGGCACATTATCTTGACAAGCATGATCCATGCCGCTGTAAATCTGCACATCGGACATCAGTAGCCGCAAGATTAATACCACGTACGAACAACCAAAATGGTGTCGAACTACATAAGGCACACGTCATATATGAAAGGTATTTAGAATAAAATATGAGTCAAAAATTTTAAAATGAAATTTTTAGTATAACAGCTTGATTATATACATTAAGTTTCACCTTCTTTTTTTCAATGACATATCTCCCATGTGTTTTCATTTTGTGATTAACTTGCAGATCTCCACCATTTAGTCGCAAAGTAATAATGTGCCAGCAACCTTCAACAGTACCAAATTCCTTACAATCTACAAATATTTCTAATTCAGCAGGATTAATGGTGACATATAATAAAAGCCGTAGTCCTACGCCCCAAAAAAAATATTTAAATCAACAAAATGTAAGTTGAAAATTTTAAAACGCATTGAATTGATCAAGTAAGAAAAAATCAAACATTTATTGTAGCAAAACGTTTTTGAGTTTTTTCCAACGTTAGCATCTCCAACATCTAATATAAATAAACGTTCAATATCACCCAGTCCAAAAAGGTTAAATGATATTCGAAAAAAACAACCTCTCTCAGGTACAAGTAGTTTTAATAAGATAACTGCAGATTCGACTTATAGCACAATACAAAATGATGAGTTGCTACAACAAAAAGAAATAATTATGCAATCAGGCAATTCAATGACAATAATCAACATAAATTCTAACTCCTTTGAAAATTCTGCAAAATTTGACAACAGCAGTGATAATGGAAGTGAAATGAGCGATGAAGGATACCGAAGCTTAGGGTTACAGCAAATAAACAATCATCGAGTTGAACAACAAAACCAAATTTTTGTTGAGGACGCAGATTTTAATGGTAACATAAGTTGTCACATATTTTATGTAAGAAAGTTTTTACATTTGAAATATTTTTTAGCGCGTCCTAGTTTTGATTTACACTATTCGCCCAAGGAAAACAAAAGTACCTCTAAAGCTATGGACAACTGTAACCAAAGCTTAGAACATAACAGTGACAACCAAAGTAGGATAAACTCATCACCTTCACTTAAACAGAAAACGAAAAATAAATCTGCTTTTAGGGCGGATAGGAAAAAATTTGAAAATTCTTCTGAAATAAACTTTTTTGAACAATCTGGTATATTCATTACTGACGACGATATCACTGTCGATATTGCAGGAACAACTGGCCTTCGAAAAACAGGATTTTCTGACAAAATTTATGGATTTGAAGACCAAAATAAACCTGAATTGTGTGAAAAAATTTCAAATAATAGTAAAATACCGAGATCTCCAGTAGTTAGACGACGTAAAAGTATAGATGTTTTATGCAATAAAAGTAATTTGGAAAGCTCATCAGAATTTAACCGCACAACTCCGGAGTATAGATCAGCTAAATTAACAAAAGAGTTTTCTTCAACTGAAAACCGTACTTTATTAGGCAAAGGAATTTTAAACATAGAAAAATGTGATATCAAAAACTCTGAATCCCAGTTTGCTTGGAATGGGCGAAATAAGAAAAAATTTTATGCACTTAATGAACATCCAGTAAGGTCGTCATCATTAAACTCTCATTTCAACAAAAAATCGAAACAATTCAACACCCATATACTTTATGACAGTAATGGAAAAACGATATGCACGAAAAGCACTTCTCTAACAACATCTCCAATAAAATGTAGAAGTACTGCTTCTCCCTTGGCTCAGCAATTATTCAAAGTTGCAAATAACGCCAAAAGTGATGCTCAAATGCTTGAAAAAATGAAGATCCTTTTGCAGAAATATGGAAAGGATTCCAACTATAAAATGGAAGATTTCAATGATTCATATACACATGTATGGGTACAGAATAATGGTGACATGGGAAGTTTAGATAATTCAGATTCTTTCGAAATCAAAAAACAAAGACAACAAAAGGGAAGCATTGCTGCCACCCCATCATTTAACACGGACTTCAGAAATAGTACCCCATATTGTACAAAATCTTTTTTACCTAGAAGTAGAGCCGATTACCGTGGAGCATCGAAAATTCCCGCTCCCGTACGACGTAACACCGAACTTTATTAATTTCTTGCAAAAACACATACTTCTAGCAAATTGATAATCAAAATGATTATCAATCAATTTGATTGATATTATGACCGTTTTCGAAAGTATGTATATACTCGTCATATTTATATATACATATATAAAACACTTATATTTTTATATCGCAGATTTTTTTTTTATAAAAGTTTTGTTAATTGATTATATTTACATATGTATGTATGTATATTGCTTTACAAAAATCTTTTTCAATAAGATTGTTTTTCAGAAAAATACAACTATATTTTTGTGTAGGTCAAATATTTTACATAATATTTTTTCAATTTTCTTTTCGATCATCTTTTTCAGTATTAATTGGATTCTATCAGAAAGATTCGCTTTGCTCTCAAGCTAAACTGAATTAGACAAAGTAGACTTTCATACAAACTGGTGAACTTCTAAAGAAAAAAATGAAAATTCGCCAGACGTACATTATTGGCCAAACTAATATTTTTTTAACGTTAATTTTTTTAATGCCAGAAAAATTAAATTATTCATGTTTGTACATCAAATTTTAGTAAAATTTTTTAACTCTTAATTAGTTGGGCTATTGAAAAAACTAAGACATTTCCTGATATATGGTAATTAAATATGATTATCTTTTAATTAATATTCATTTAAATTAGCTGCTGCTGCAAATCTACATCCATACATAATGCATATGTATGTATGTATATATGTAGATAGTTCACACTTTTAAAACTCTAGTATAGAATAACATTTGTAACATAGGAGAATTACCGTCAATTTACTCTGCAATCAAAATTTATTTCAATTGTGAATTTCTTAAGTTTATGTGATACAACATAATGAAGCAATAGGATACGAAATAAGTAACTCAACAAGCTTGAATTTTTTTTCTTAAATTTTAAACTGCGGGTAGATTTTACAGGCAATGGTTAAATGTATAAATTGATAATATTTATGATGTATAAATTAATTTACAGCTTCTTGATATTTATTTGTTGTTCTTATTATCTTTTAGTATAAAATCTATTACATATATTATTTGGTAAAAACTTATTACTGAAATTAACTATGTATATATGATGAAAATATAAAAATTACTTACACTACTATAAATTGACTTAGATATTAATCATTTGTTATTTAAAGATTTTATATGCATATTAAGTTTATAATTTTGATACATTAATAAAATACTACTTCAAATTTTAAATGTTGTATAAAATAATTTAATCATAATACAATATAAATAGCAAAGTAAAATTCATAGTGATATTATTATAATTCTATTACGTTTTCCGCTTTCTAAAGTGATCAAAAGTGAAACTTTTGATTTGTACTCCATAATGATTTAGCATTTTTTGTTAAGTTTGTAGATTTATAAGCATTTTTATAAATTTGACACCAAAGGTTGTGATTTCATTAGAAATCGGTCAAAATTACTAATTAATGATTTCTAATTATATTTAATACTGAAAATATCAAACGATGTAACAAGAATATAAGGTGGTGATAACTAAAATACTAATATTATGTGCATATGTAAATAATTTTCCTTAAATGTAATAATTAGATGTCCGGAATATTGGCCGGAAAATTTCTGACAATTGATAACTTCAAAAGGACATTTGATTTTTTTTCTTTTCTATAAATTCATTCTCAAATTCAAATTTTTTATATACATATGTACATATATATTTATAAAATATTATTCAAAAAAAAGTTCAAAATATATTTGTACAATTTTTTCTGAATAGTACGTGAATTCGTTTTATTCACAAAACATTGGCATAAATTAGTAAAAAATTTTATAGTATAGTTTATGCACTAATGTCTAAACTGTTATTTATTTATTTCTTTACATTGTAAAATAAAATTTGTAAAATACCTAGTAAAGCAGATAAAAAAGAAATGTTTTTGTCGCCAAAATTTGTAAAATACCTAGTAAAGCAGATAATATAAAGACCGAAATATTACGGAATAAATCGAGTTAATTGCACCAATTTTAAAAAAAAACTTTATTATACTACTTATATAATATAATGCGCAACGCTTTCTTTTTGTATGTACATAGGTTTTATTAAGAAATTTCAATACCGTAAATTAAGTTGCCAAGCGTAGGAAATTAAATTTGAGAAACCTTCGACGCGAGAGCAAGAGCTATAGAAACATGCTGACTGATTTTTTAGTTTCATATAAAATATAAAGATGAGCGAAAGAAATGTTTTTGTCGCCAACCGATCGAAGCTTTGTTAAAATAAGACTATATGTATTAACATTTAGTGTCTTTATAATATCTGTAATATTGCGTATTAATGTAACGCACTAATAATGCGTCTTTATATTCCAATTCAATTTTTTTTTTTTAAATTTTAGAATTCCCAAACACAGTGTACATTTTTTTGATAATTTAACACCAAAGATTAAATGACATCATAATTTAATTAAATAACAATTAGTAGTACATTTTTAAAGTATGATATGACGATATACAAAAAATATAAACCACACATTTCAATATTTTGTATAAAAATAACTTGCCTTAACTACAGCAAAATGTACTTTTCTAGATCGTCAAAAATTAAGCTTTGAATTAAACCAGCATTTCTAAAAAAAAAACATTTTAATATGTCAATCAGAAGCGCGAAACCATGGATTGAAAAAATTAACCCCAAGTGGTATTAAATCCATCAAATCATAATTATTTTATTTGATTGTTTTTCTACTTAAAAAACAAAGGTCCTCATTTTGAATGTCGCCTGCATGTAGAACTTTGTCAAGTAATGGAAGTATAAGTTTTCAAAAAGTAAAAACTGATAAAATATAATTTTCAGCACATTATAAAAATTAGAATTATATAAATGAATATGCATACACTCATGTATAAGATAAAATTAAGCGGTCAAATATAAAATTCAATATGGCGATTGCCTTACAGAATTCAACCTGTACACGCGCGCATACATAAATTTGAAATGCTGGTACACCAACGGCGGTTTTTGGCGATTTAGATCAGAAACATATTATTTTCTAAAACGATACGATATTTTCTAAAACACAGTTACACATTAATATGTATCTTAATTTATTAATTAATGTTCATTCCGCATTAACTTTTTTTATGTATGAAATAAAATTAAATAAAATCGTGAAAAATGTATATGTTTTTATATCACTTTTTACAATAGCACACAAGTTAGTTTTATTTATAAAACATAAAAGTGAGAATTACCCACTTATATAGGAACTCGTTCTAATTAAGGGTGTTTTTGATAATGCAATATGCCTTCACATTGGATGTTTTTGAAAATGCAGTTCTTAAGATTACAACTGCAAAGCTTTTAAAGCCTTGCATTTTCAAAAGCACTCATATCTAAGTTAAAACTTAAATAACTTAGACAACCGAAAGACGCTGCTGCAAAAACTACATAAAGATTGTCATTATGTTTTTTAAAGTTTCAAAAATGAAACCACAAAATGAAATATTTTCCAATTCAATTAAATATGAATTTCAATTTTTTATTGAAGGTATAGTAAAATAAAGAAACTAATCCTAATAATCCTAATACTCGTAAATCTTGTAAATTCGACATTATTTTTCTTTTAAGCACAAAATAGTTTCCGCAACAGTAAAAATCTTAATATGCAGTTGTAGTTTTAAAACAAACTGCAAAAATAGTACCGCATTATCACACAATTTTTTTTTTTGACAGCACGTGTAGTTTTTTATTGTCGAACAAAGGACATGTTTAGAATTAAGTAACGAAAAAATGAATTAAAGCATGTTATAAGGGATTGAAATTCAGATTTCAGAAAATACTACAATGTGTGCATTTTACTTTAGTAATAAGAACTATTCTTTAAAAAGAAATCTTTTTAATGTACCTTTGCTTAAAACACCTTTCCTTTAAAAGAAACAGCAGTCCCATAATTACATTTACCAAATCGAGAGAAACTTTCAGAGAGACATATCACGTCTATTAAGAAATCAAGAAAGCAAGAAGTAACTGAATTGTTACAAGCGTCAATGTCTAATAAATTCAAGTACTCACAGGTGTACATTTATTAGGATATTTATACATTTTTCTTAGCGGCGATAACTTTTTACTCAGTACATCTTCCATTATTTGTTAGCACCATTGTCACTTACTTATGCGAGCAACTGCATCGTTTTGGTTTTATGAGTCAAGAATTACTGATTCTGTTGAATCTCCGATTGTAATTCAAACAGAGTAAGTTTTTTGTAATTGTAAATACATTTTAAAAAGTAATAATATCTAAAAAACTTAAAAATTTTAGAGCAAATTTGGAATATACGATACGCTGCAAGTACTCAATATCCAAAAGCAATTTGAATATTTAACAAAAAAAACAAGAAGCAATTGGTGGAAGAAAAAGGAAATGGCCATAGAGAATAACAACTTAGAAAAATAATTAAAATATATTTTCACTGAAAGCGAAATAGCAAAATTAAAAAGCCCTTTAAAAAGGTTTAAACTTTAAAGTGATATCTGTAACAATATATGTACATATGTGAATATTTATTTTTTCGTTATAGAATGTCGCTGTTGCGTCAGTGATACCTTGTAACTCACAAAAACTAAATTTTTCAGAGCAATTAAAAAACCGAATATCTCTTTTGTTTCAAATAATAGGTTTGGGATGTGAAAGATAATTTTTTTTTTAAGCTTAAAGAAAGTAAAATATTAGTTCTGTCTGGGAAAAAACTTGCAAAAACTTTAAAATGAGAAACAATGACGAATTTTCTCTCAAAAATAAAAAAAATTCTCACTTAAAAAAACAAACCAGACAGAAAACTTCTAAAAACTTTATAAATATGCGATTAACGTCAAATTTCAAAATATCAAACATAAATCAATATTTTTTGGTAATATTAATTTATGTGGTTTACGAGGTTTCATCGTGCAACAAAAATTCAGAATATAAAATTTAAAATTGTGTGGTAACAAATTGATAACTCGTAAAGACTTAAACGACGTTGCGCAAACAGTTTTATTTTTTTTTGATACAAAATTTCACTTAATTTCGTTTTTAGTAGCAATTACTAAAAATTTTTAGAATTTTCATAAACTAGAAAATGTATTTTATTGATTTAAATAGAAAAATGCAAAAAAAAGAATTTTTGAAAAATTTTTTGATACGAAATTTCACTGTTGCGACAGTGATGTATTTTCGACTAAAAGAATTAATCAAAATATAAAATATATACAAAAAATAATGACAATAGGTGAAATAAAAAAATGTAAAAAGTTTACAAATAAAGATAAGTTTCTTATTATTTCTTCATTATAATTACATACCATCACTATGAACATTACAATTAGGCAAAGACATTATAGTTACATATTATAGGCAAAGACATTATAATTACATCCCATCGCCATGAACATTTCTAAATTATTCGATAATACCTAGGGGTTTTCGTTTATACACGCTGCGCTGAAAGTTCTACATCAGAACTAAAATTTCTAAGTCGCAGCGTTAAACAGTATGTAAAAACTTTAGCTAAGTTTTTTTTGTTTACGCAGCCTACAAATTCTGAAACTTCTAAATAATCACTCGTTAGAACAGAAATTACATTGTTTATGAAATTGTATCCTATTCCTTTTCGCCTTTCAATTCACTTCAAAATAAGGAAATTTTAACTAGATTTGAAGCATTAAAGAAAACTTTAATAACCCTTCAATATCTGAATCTGTCATTTTGAAATTTAAAATTTTTTTTTTTAATTTTGAATTAAAAAAGAAAAAAAAAATTCATGAAGCAGCGATAAAATTTATATTAGAGGTCTACGCTGCATTTCTAACTTTTCTTTATTGCAGAATGAATTTTCGAACGCACTTTATTGCAGCCGGTAATTTCCGAACGATCTATATTTTCAGTGTGTGTAGCATAAATTTAGAACTATTCTAGAACTGAATAAACTAAAACCCCTCTAATATAAGAATATATTTCTTAACAAAAAGTATGATGATCAATTTCAAGGCTTGAGAATAAAGATGTCTGTGGTATTACGCAGTCTTATATAAAGATGTCGATGAGTGCGTACACATGTGCTTCTTCCATATGTGCTAAATATTTGAATAATTATTGCATATAGACATACCAGGATAAAACAAAAGAAGCCAAAAAAACAGAAGCAAAAAAAATTGTTAAAAAATGAAAAAAGAGAGTGAGAATAACAAAATAAACGAAAAAGACTAAAAACGTATTAACATATGCTCTGCTAATGTTTGGTATCGCAGAATTGATCTTGTTGATACATCTTTGTATTTTTAATGTATTTGATTTAGGTTTGTGTTATTTTTAAGGTGAGTTTTTGAACGTTTCCACCAAAAAAGCACTATGGATAGAAAAAATTAATTAAAATAATCATGTACGGTACTGTGCAAGATTTCGGGTTTTTAAAGTCTGGAAATAATTTGAAACGTAAGTTCTTGTTAGAAAAAAAAACGAACTTCAAAGAGAAAAACTTTTTTAGAGATATTTTTGGAAAGTGCTCCAAAATATTGTCTCTTTTAGGAAAACAAAGAAAAACTATCATTAATGTATGTAGGTACATAGTATATATATAAGTATATACATATTTCATTGTATTATTATACAAAAGTAATAATACCAATAGTCAAATTGCACACTTTTTGTCACCACTTTTGTCTAAAAACGTTCCGTAAAAAGAGTTTATTTATTATGTATGCCCAAGACTGAAAAGCATAAATTCAAAGTATTTATATTTATTATAAAAAACTTCTTTATTTTTATAGTAAAAAACTTCTTTTCTAAAGTAATAATAATCGAATATTCCAATTGTATTGTAAGGGTTAATACTTTACTATAATTGTATTTTATTTAACTATTTTATATTATATTTTGAATTTGCTACAATTTTTTCAAATAGTATCTTTTTTTATCAATTATGGTACGCGAATTTCAAAATTAAGTGTTAACCCTAATTGTAATTATAATAATTAACTCTCAAATTCTTAAGTACTACCATTGATTAAAGATTGTTTTAAAAAATTTCTTTTAAAACTGTAAAGTGAATTTTAATTATAGTTTACTGTCAAAATCTCAAATGCTACCATTTCTTAAAGATTATACCAGATAAGTTAGATTTTAATAAACGTTTACACTACAGGAACAAAATTAGACAAATTTTTTTGTTGTGTATTTTCAAATTTAAAAAAGAATTCATTTGATATAATTGGTATGACATGTCACCCACATAGACCTCATTTTGATTATTTATTATTACTTCACACATATGGGTATACAAGGATATTGTTCATTTGCAACTGAAGTAAGTAGTAAGTTAAATTTTAAATTTCAGGCTCTTCTAATTTTCAAAGAAATTTTCTTAAGTCAAACAGGTGACATTACTAAATGTATTCAGAATTCAATTCTGATCAAAAATTTCTATGTACATACATACATGTTATCTAAAATACCATATTTTGTGTTTATATATAAATAAAATATACATATGTACATTGGAACTTATATAGAATATACGTATGTATATATAATTTCGCTACAGAACTTCAGTTTAAAGCTCTTGTCTCAAATATACAAATATAAAAAGAGCAAATTTTTAGAACGAAAGAGCGGAATATCCTATTTTATGCAATTTTTATGAAATTTATTTTAAAAAAAGTTATGATAGAACTGCAAAATTAACTACTTATTATCTAAATTAAGCATAACTATAGTTTTTTAATAAAATATAAATATACATATATATTTATATTTTATGCATATATATATATATATATACATACATATATATATATATATGTATATGAGTTTTTTTTGAATCCAAAATTTCTTTAGGTGAAATTTTAAATCTACTAACCAAAGAAAAAAAATTTTTTTTGTCATTTACTTGTATTTATTGGATTTTGAATGATTCACATCTAGATAGAGCACAATACCAAACGGAAAAATAACACAAAACTATTGTTTTTTTGCAATATATGAATAACATAAAATAGAAATAAATTATGTATTTATAATACAAAATTAGATTTAAAAAAAAAATTTTTTAAATCAGGTATGTATAGTACATGTTCATTATACCAGTGAAATTTTTTACCCAACTAAACTAATTTACCAGAAATATTATATCGATTCAGAATATTTCTGTTACATTGATAAAGTCTTTATATCAGTTCAAGTAAGATCTGTAACGCTTGCAGAAGAAATAACACGCAAAAAGAAAATGAATAAAACAACAAGTAAGATCTCCAACTCTTGCAGAAGAAATAACACACAAAAAGAAAACGAAAAAAACAAGATGCAAAAAAAACAAAAAGAAAACGAAAAAATGTGAATTCTCAGTTCTGTGTATAATCATTATATTATATTCATATCGTATAGGATACTTGAATCGTATAAGATGTATACCGATTTGAGTCACGGACACTTGACTAATAAACGATAATTTTGCGATTTTGACATTTTAATTGAAGTCGATCGAGTGTATTGTTGAAAACTTGAAAAATTTATTCAAAGCTACCTCAGGTTAGTGCATTGTAGTGCGGCAGCTGAAAAGGTATTTTCTCCTGTTAATTTGATAAAAACTAAATTGAGAAACTCCTTTTATGGTAAGCAACATTTTAAACTCAAAAGAACTCTCATCCAAAAAATTAAACGACAGCCCTGGAAAAAACTACCATTTGATTAAAACATAGATAAAGAAAAAAATTGCAAATGAAAAGTGTGATATCATGAGATCATAATTCATAGATATTATATATGTATACATTGTTTTCTCTTTCATAATGCAATGAGTGATAATAATATATTTCATACTTTGTATAATTCTCTGTACATACTAATGAGTACAATATTAATATAATTGGATATTTCATATTTAATAAAAATAAAATAATTTAATTATCCAAACAAACAAACATTAATATTCTCTTATTTTCCTTTTTTGAAAATGTATTGAAATGAGTTGAAAATGTATTAATTCATGTAAGGAAGAGCTAAAGAAACTAAAATTGCAAGTATATGATAAAAATGAGTTAACTAATTATTAATATCTTTGATTCGAGCTTATCATAATTTAACACTTTTTTTAGAGGTAGCAGGTATTTTAAAAAGGTTTTGAAGATAGCAATCTACCAAACTACCTATCTATCTATCTCGTGTATACTTTACAATCTAAAGTATATAATTAATGCCTTACCTTACATTATTCAGATAAGTACGAGTATATACATATACAAAAAATATTTAACAATATACAAAAAATAAAATTTTACGTTGTTTCCATACGAGCGTATACTCGAACACTTGTGATGGCTGCCATACAACTCCAAAAGTTATTTAGCATTATCTCAGAAATTACTGGAATATAGAAATATTATACGTAATAATTATAATATAAAAATTTCGTAAAAAGAAGTGTATTATTAGGACTGTTATGTGTGATGAAAATCGTTGAAATTTCTTGACTCCTTGTTGTACTCGTAACTGCCATATAACTTCAATTGCAGTTTGGCCATATCTTACAAAATATTCAAAACACAGTATTGAAATTTTGTATAAATGAATATGGTAAAACGGCAGTTTAAAGTCATTGTCTGTCCCATAGTCAGCTATGGCATATTTACTGCCACATAAGATAACAGATTCGTACGGGTATCACAGAGTTGACACGGTCAACTCTATTTTTTCTCGTTTTTGTTCGTAATTTACACGTTTATTATTAAATCCGTTTACGAGCAAAAAAACTTTTATATACGAGTACAAGTATGTATAAAAAAACAAATAGATTTGTCGCATTCACCTCTTTATTCTTTTTAGGCTTCATATGTAGTTGCACATGACCAAAACTCAAAGAAAAACCTTATATTTATTCGCAATATATAAAGGAAAATTGTGCAATTTTCGACGTCCTTATAATCGAGTCCAGCTACATACACACATGTATAAAAAATTCAAGTTCTAAAATTATTGAAATGTTCAGGTTTTAAAATTACGATTACCAAAATTTAATCAAGTTTTTCAATGCAATATGTATGTATGCAGCTATAATCTGTGTATTATATTTATAGAGTATTGTATTGAAAAGGTTTTGTTTGTATCAGCTAATTTTTTTTGCTTATTTTCAGTTATATTTTTCATCCTAAGCTAAGAAATCTTTCTTATTTTTTTTTTCAATTTTTGTCTATGAAATTAAAGCATATCTATATATTTGTATGATGATTATGCACATTGTATTGACATCTGCATGATGTGCGCGCAGTGCTGGGATGTAGCGTTTTTAATGTAGAATTTGGCATACCTAATTGAATTTTGTTTTGCATTGAGTTTTTAAAAAATTATGCCGATTGAATTCTTAACATAATAGCGTTTTAAAAAAGCATTAAAAAATCTTTGAAAAAAATGTTCTGAAGGTTTTATTTTTATAGACAGATTTTATTAATTTTATTAATATTTCATACAACAATTGCCACTGATTGAAATTTTATAAATTTATTATTTCTTATTCTGAATAAAAAATTTAGACTAAAAATAACTCTTAATTTATTTATTATCTATAGGTTTTAAGTTAAATAAAATAAAAATTGTTTGTTTTTTAACTTAACTCCTTTAAATTACTAAATTTTTGAAATTTGGAGTAAATTCTTGGCATTGTATTTTGACTAATCTAACATAATTTACTCGATCATTAACTTGACTGAAAGTAACCCAGCACTGTGTGTGTGCACAAATAGTTCCATGAAAAGCTAAAGTTTTTACTCTTAAAAATTAGCGATTTTTCGATCCACTTATATTTATTTAAACACATACGCACACATACATATATTACATGATTAGTAGTATTTTTTAAAATAGATTAATATACATACATACACATGTATGTACATATATAGATTTTTAATATACGAATATGTGCATAGATCTTTATTCGAAAGCATTACAATATGAAGAGGTAGAAAGTTTGAAAGTTAAATAAAATGGAGTACTTTTTAATGAATTTAAATGAGAGTACTTTTTAGAACGTAGTTATATGAGTTACAACTCTGATGAATGTATGTTGGCAAATAGTATACATATGCATGTATCATTGCCGTTGCTACAAATTTGTCAATCAATCTGGCAGCCTTGATAAATCCATGAGCATACCTTCTTATGTAGGAATAGGTATGTACATATGAGTATATGTAGTGAAAATTGAGCAAACGCGTTTATTCAGAGTAAAACTGAAGAAAGTAAAAGTTTACCTAATTCTAAATTTTTATATGGGAATAATGTAATATGTATCATGTACATTAATAAATGCAGATTAATGTGTGTTTATGTATCATTCATACATTCAAAAGAGGATACGGGTATATTATACATATGTATGTATGTACGTTTTTAGGTTCGAAATAGGAAAAATTTTTAGATACGAAAAATTATATGTGTATGTGCATTTTTTACATATATTTATATATATATATATATATATACATATATGTTTTATTATATATATATATATATATATATACATATTTTTTTACATATATTTATATGTACATATATATATATGTATATATATGTGTGTACGTTCTTAGGTAGGAAATAGGAAAAATTATATGGGTATGCGCTTGTTTACACATATATTTTTATATATGCAAATATGCATATACATATATTTGCTATATATATATATATATATATATATATATACATATATATATATGCATATTTAATATACATCCATACATATACATATATTATTATATATGATTCTCACTAAAATCCCAGAAAAGTTTCTCTTTCAAATGGTCAAAGAGCATTTCAAATGAACTTCTTTTTACTTAGCACAATGTGCGCAAGAAAAATAAATTTGTTACATTAGAAAGTTTACACATAAATGTATGTACATTATATTTTATAAAATATATTGTAAATACAACAGGAAACAAACATGCATACATATACATACATATGTACATTTTATGTAGACATGTGCGTAATGCATAGGTATACCAAAAATGTATAGAACAACAATGTTTGGTATAATATGTTGTATGTTTTACTTAGATTACTTTCACACGCACTTTCTCATTTATGCGAGTTGAGTATTTCTTTTTTGTCTACGTCAGTTATAGCGGTACCATTTATTAAACCAGTCACAAATCAGTTGCCGCGGCCATCTTGTTTTCTTTTGTTCATATCTATTTTTTGGATCAAAATTTAACAATAAAATTAAACTTTAAATTTTTTTTGTTATAATTTTTGTTTGATTATTTAAAACAACATTTGAAGCAACTTTGGAATCAAAATTTAAATTTTATATTTTTTTTATTAAATGGCGTTTCTTCTGGGCAATTTAAAATATCGATCATAAAAAATCGATAAGGTACTCAATATATCAAAATTTAGAGTGATGTAAGATTTTAAAAAATCGTGATATTTAATTAATAGTGCGTTAAATGTATGTTTTATTAAACTTAAAATGTGCAGATGTGTACATATGTACATACATATGCATATGTATAATATTAATTTATATTTTTAAATAATTTTTAAAAACTAAATAAAAGTGTACATGCTTATATTATATGAATAACTAAAATTGCTATTTATCAGTATACGTTTATGTAGAAACATATGTACATATGTAGATAAAATAAATCAATAGTTACGTATATAGTTGTACCAAGCCTGGTCCAAAAGACGCCATGCTAAAAACTGATTAAAGAAATCGAAATCAGAAGAAAATTAATCAAAGAGAAAATGTTAGAAATTTAAAAATTGCATATGTACCCACAAATGTTATCAATGAATTATATGCATATATGTATGTATGTACATACATACATGTGTAAATAAATGTACAATCATCGAAATTAGATGCATCATCCTATATATTTAAAAAAATGATTCTATTATATATACATATATAAATAAAACTGAACTTAGTATTATACGAAGTAAAAAATTTGCTAGAAATCTGTAAATTTAAAAAAAAATCTTATGTACATATATATATTAGGCATTCATATTGCGTATATCTATATACACAACATACATATGCATATACAAAAAGTGCGTCGTCCAATGAAATATATAGGTAGAGTGGATGTACCTGTAGTTGCAAATTTACTAATAGAAATGATACGTGAATGATGATACAATAAATACAATAAAAATTGCACATTATATAAGTTTTAGGATAACTGTTAAGAATTTAGATGGATACACACATGCTTAGAGTTTGTACCCGTGTATGTACTTATGTACCACTTGTGTTACGATATTTACAAAACTAATTTTTTAACTAGATTAATATATGTATATCCATACATCGATGTGTACATTTGTGTTTTGGCATGTACATCAATTAAATCTTGGCATTGATACTGATTTTCATATTTGGTAAATTCTGAGTTGCTTTCTATATACTTATTTTAAATTGCTGTAATTTATTGACTGTGGCATCTTTTGGTTGTCAATTCAGCATTTTAAAACTTGCGTGGTCCCTAAACGACCATATTATTTTTAGAAAAAATCAATAAAATTAAGGAAGACGAAAGTAAAGTGACGAAATGTGGTTAGCGACAGAAATGTGGTCTAACAGAAGAACGGTGAGAAACCTATTTTACTGTGAGGAAGTTTTATTCTCAGTTCCATCCGAAAGTGTAATATTTTCACTAGTTTACTGCTACATAATACATATATATAAATATTTATATATAAATTTGGGCATTTTAGGCATAGAACATGTTGAAATTTAGAACTGTATGATATTTCAGTACAATTAGGTAATGAGAATTACAAACTATTTTTAATTAAGTGGTAAAATAATTCATATTTTATTGTGATAATAATTAATAAAATACCAAAGAAAGTGACGAAAATCAACAATTTAATGAAAAGTGGACTTAACATTATATTATTAAAGAATTCAGTTTTCGTCACCACGAAATGCAAAAATGAGTATGATAAATATGAATATCAATTTTGTTTAAGCTACATTTGAAAAGTGAAAATAGGTTGCAATTCTTCAAAACTTTAAAGAAACTAAGCTTTTAGTTAACATTCTTCGAAAAATGTAAATTTCGCTCTTAGTAGAGTTTCGCTTTGTTTGACCCCGATTCCCCAAAAAAATCGCCTGTTAGTTTCGATAACAACCAGAACTCTCGAACCCTGATCTTTCCAAAAAAATTTATAGACTCATTTTAACAACCCGAATTTAAATCTTGATTTTCAAGGAAATTCGTCGATTGTTCAAAACTGTTTAATTTCAACAAAGGCTTTAAATTTTTATATTGAAAAAAATATTAATTTTTCTTTTTTGTATATTTTGCGAAAAGTGCAAGTGGGTTCATATGTACAAGTATGTAACATTTAAGTTAAAATTAGTTGATTTTTATCTTCTTCCTTTTTTCTAGTGTTATTCTTTTTTGTTTTTGATTTACTTTAAAACAGATGATCCAAATTTCAACTCCAAACATTAGGACTTAACACCTGAAAAATTTTTAACTATTTTGAAAATAGCGAATCAATGCCCATAAAATTTAGCCGTTTTATAGTTCATTTTGAAGTTAACTGTTTAAAATTTAAAAATGCCGTAGTTTTTCTCAGAAAATTTTGGATTAACAATAACAATTTTTAGAGTTAACGTACAGTAAAATATTCAGAAAAGACAAAAAAAAAATCAAAATAACCGATATATCGAAAAGAAATTATGTACTAAAAATTTACTTAAAAACTACAATTGAAAATTTTAGCTTAATGGTATTATTAAAAAATAATTTATAAACATATCTATTTAATAGAAAAAGATTAAGTTATGAATTTACTATTGGGGTAATTTCTCAGAATTTGTAAATTTTCTAATCAAAATGTAAGATTTTTAGTTTAAAATTGTTAAGCCAAGGGTTTGAAAAGTTAAGAAAACCTCACAAATACACCATGCGTCGAGCCCTTATTTTAAAGTATTTCGTATCTAATACAGGGCTAATAAAAGTATTTCACTTTAAAAATACTATCGCATTCCAATAAAAACTAATGTACTGGGAGCCTGTGAATTTTGATATGATGTTGTGACGCGTTTTTGTACAATATGTACATACATTACATTATGTGAAATACATACATCAAAACATACATATTCATGTGCCCAATTTATCATATCACATAACTAATTTTAATGTACTTACATACGAAAGAATTGCAAAAGAAAAAGAAATTAAATAAACAAAGAAATGTAAAACATAATCTTCCCCATTGTATAAAAGATGTGTGCGAAACTATATTTACAAGAGGGTAACTAAAAAATGTATATATGTACATAATAATGTACATGTACTTTTAAATCACTATAAGAAATATGAGATTTTCACGCAGTATATCATATGCCATTGTTTTATTTGGCGCATTATACATATGCATATTTTTAAAAAGTACCATAGAGTGTTTTATATAGTCAAGCAGAATGGTCATCAGTTATAAATTATAATACATTATCGTTAACAATAAAAATACATTAATGTGTATATTATTTTCTTAACCTAAGAAGACTGTTAACAATGTGCGATAGGTGCATTATTTTGATATTAAAGATTTCACAAAAAAGTAAACTTCATGGCACGAGCCACTTATTTTACGGTGAATAACTGAAAGTATTTTTATAAAATTGCATCACATATGTATATATGTATCATACATATTATGTGATTTCACATGGTATATAAATATGAATGCATACACATATTTATGTAAAAAAGAAATACAAATTTCTGCAGAAGCTGTTTCCTCGACAGGACTTGAGTATAATAAACAAAGCGTAGTATAAAAATTGTGAAATAAATTATGTGCATATGTGGATGTGTGAGATTATGCATATGCAGATTGGTTGATTGCGTAACTGAAAGAAATAATACGTGTAAATTATTTTTTGTTTAGCTATAAATTCCCCCCGTTTAAATAATGGATTTAAAGGGGTGTGTTTCTCGAACCACATGCTAAGCACCGTGTATATAACAATAATTTACCAATTAGCATTAAAATGCATCTATTTACGCAAAAGTTCAATTAAATTCTTTTATTTACATTTTTTGTACTGACATCTACATATATTAACAAGTACGTATGTGTATTCTTTCATGGAAATATGCAACCCTTTGAAGTTTTAATAATAATTATTATATTATATTTAAAAATAAGGGATGCATTTATAGGCGCATGCGTTTTTTAATATCATGAATTCATTTTGATATAAAAGTACATAATCAAAAGTATTGATATGCATACTTACATAATATATGCATTCATTTTTACTTGTTTTTACTTATGTTGTAAATAACGAGAATGCAACGGGAATAATTGAATTGTACTCAAATGCATATGTATGCATGTTTCTAAAGCTTTGCAAATATATGACAGGTTGAAAAATATGACAGGACTGCAGGGGTACATATAAAAATGTGTTAATATATTATTCGCTACTAATTGTGTTTGCAATCTCGTATAATAATAGTTCGATAATTTTAAATGAACTTTGTTTTTAATTTTAAAATGTTTTTCGTTAAAAACAATGGTTTGTCTTTAAAATACTTATAAAGAATGTTTGCGTATATGTTTTGATTTGTAAATTTTAATCAAAAATATAATATGAAAGCTATTGGACTTAAATTATTTATTAAACCAGTTAAAGTAATTTTTAACATTGGTACAGTCATAATTAAACTCTAAACGCGGTGAGTTGTATCAAATGTTATATAAGAGCCTTGAATTTTTTTTTATTATTTAAATTTATAAAATAATAGTAAAGTATGTATGAGAGTTCTGTCCCACAAAAAGAGTAGTATGCGTTAGAATAAAAATCAAACGTTAAATTTACATTACAATGATGTTTTAGTTTTTTGTATTCGAATCAAATCTAAAAAATGCTAAACGTTTTTGTCCCTACTAGTATTATCTAAATAAACACGAAATAAAAACTAGAAAACCTTGTTCTGATATCGTACATAATATGAACGTAAGAATAAATAATAAATATCTCTTTGTGATTCAAACATGAATATAATTTCTTTGTAAAAATCTTTTTAACTATCCTGCATCCTGTTCGGGTATTTAACAAAAATACTTTTTGTATCCCGATCTTCTCCATTGTTATTATAAATACCTTTACTATCTTAAGTTACGTCCCTTTCAAATTAAAAAAACCCGATAGTACAAGGACATTTAAAAAACACTTCAAATTAGTAAAATGGTGATTCAACGAAAATATTTTTGAGATGTAAAATCTGTATGCAATACAGATGGTTACAACATCTATACAATTTTAATCCAATATTAAACTTGGGAGTTTATTTCAATGAGCTGAAAACTCAGTACAAGCATATTTTGAGATTAATAATGAACTTAATGTAATAAATAAA